GCCGCTAGGAATGAACGTCTAGACGGACACCTTGACAAACGAGGTGGGCCAAAACCTGCTCTGATACCATGATAGAATTTAGGATTGGGTAGAGACAACTGAACTGGGTAATAAGACACTTGGGTTGAACCGCATTAAAAGATTGAATCCAATCGATTAGTTAGTTTAACTCAAGAGCTTATATACCGATTAATTTTCTCACACTTTTCCGATGTGGGATGCTCTTTAACATAAGGCCGCGGGGATTCCAGTCCCAAGTACGATGCTGCATCATCCAATTCAACAAAAATAAAATACTGGTAGAGATATTATGGGATCGAAGGAGGGAAAAAAAGATAGATACCGATGTAATCGGTGAGAACGCGGCCATCGGACCAGCGGCCGGAGGGTATGCCGGGGAAGGAGATGCCATAAGGGTGCCTCAACGGGGTGGAGGCATTTGTGGGTGGGTAATTGCCGGTGTCCGCATAGCTATCCCCAAATACAAACAACTTCTTTGGCCCTTCTTCCACGAGGACATAATAATAATGACTACTACTACTACTACTTGCAGCGGCGGCCTCTGAAGTTATTATCAGACATAATAAGAACATAGTGATGATGATGATGATGAAATTATAATTTGCTTTCTCCATAATATAATAATCTTGGAACGATCGAATAGGTGCAGCTATACTGATCGGTGATGGAGTATTGTTTTATATATTGAACCAATTTTTTGGTGTATATATATCCACATTTACCATGTTATTTGCTGTCTTCCGTCCCGTAAATTTTCTCAATCCCATAAAATATTTCAAATTGGCTTAACAATTGTCCTTATTTTCCTTTAATCTAGCCAAGTCTAAGTCAACTACATCTATGCCCAATCCATTTTGATATTTTCCGAACTCTACTCATTTTAATTGTCATCATTTCAACCTTGGTCAAACTTCTATAGTATCACTGTTCGTGAAGTATATATATACGGAGTATATAACAATATTCATTGAATGTATAAATACATCTTTGGGAATACAAGATATGTAATTTTAAGTGGACTGGGTGTAAAAATAATATAGAATGTCTTTTGATTGAAATGAATAAGAAAGGAATACAAAGTATCTATTTATAGGTGGAGGAGTATATTCTAGAATCCTCCACATTAATGACTTATTTATATAAGGTAATATTATATAATAATAACTCTAACTATAATAGGTAACAACCATAATTATAATATATAATATTAAATATATTAAATATATTAAATAATTGATATATTAAATATTCATTTTGTTCGTGACAAGGTCGCTCTTGGACAGGTCAGCGTAATTCATGTCCCTTCATCCCTCCAGTACGCAGACATCTTCACAAAGGGTCTCCCGTCCATTATTTTCTCCGAGTTTCGGGATTGCTTGGGAGTTCGGCCCTCATTGCCAGCGCCGTCGGAAGCATGTTAAATATATCAAGTATATATTTAGTATATTTTGTATATAGTAGTTTCCATGTATTGTAGAGTCCTTATTTATTATAGTTTCCTAACACAATAGGTTTCCTAACATAACTATGGAAACCTCTACTATATATACTCCCTTGTATTCACACATTACATTATTGGAAAATATTCATTTTTCATGGTATCAGAGCTTTGAAATTTTCGGCTCCCCTCAAACCCTAGTTCTCTCTTTCGGCCTTCTCTCTCGGCAGTCCCCCCTCTCTGCCGTCAATTCTCCCCTCTCTCGGCCCTCTCTTCTCGCCGGCAACCATGGCCGAACAGTCCGCCGTCACCTCCGACAACAACAATACTACCAAATCCCCTCATCTTGCCTTCACCACTATCTCTAATATCAAACTTCACATCCCCGTACAACTCAGCATCTCCGAACCGAACTACAAAAAATGGAGTCGGCTCTTTCGTCTTCTTGTTCTCCGTTTCAATCTCATGGGGTTTCTTGATGGCACCACCGTAGCCTCCTCCGCTGATGACGTAGAATGGTACCAATTTGATGCTCTCCTTCAAGGGTGGATTCTATCAACAGTCTCAGATGAAGTCTCAGATCTCGTCCTCGCCAACAACCCGTTTGCTCATGCCTTGTGGAAGGAAATCTACAAACTCTTTCATGACAATAAACATGCTCCCAACGTCCTGAACGGTGAGTATTGAACGCCAACTTTAAATTGAATGATGACCAGAATCGTGATTAGAGACTAGAGACATATCTTCGGCTAGAGCAGACTGAATGCATCCGGACCATAAGAGAAGAAGAACGATTGTTGGGAAAGACATGTGCCTGCTTCGAGGAGGATGGGAGAAGAGCCGTTGCGAACAAATTCATGCCGCTGACGTCGAAGAAGGGAGAAGATTGACGTGCGCTGGAGTCCTGCGCGACTGAGTTAGAGAAGAAACACAAGGAATGAGGTATTTCCGGAGATGCATGTTGACCGAAGATCTGCCGACTAAGCAGATTGAGGTGATGATATCATCTACAATCAGGAAGCGGTGGTGGTGTATCCAGAGCCGGATGGAGGAGTATGGGAGATCATTATTGGAGGAACAAGTAGTAGTGAGGCCACCGTCGCCGGATAATTCACCAACGACGGCGGCGGAGGAAGCGGAATGTATTAGGTCACCAAGAACAAAGGCTTTGATACCATGTAAAAATAATATAGAATGTCTTTTGATTGAAAGAATAAGAAAGGAATACAAAGTATCTATTTATAGGTGGAGGAGTATATTCTAGAATCTTCCACATTAATGACTTATTTATATAAGGTAATATTATATAATAATAACTCTAACTATAATAGGTAACAACCATAATTATAATATATAATATTAAATATATTAAATATATTAAATAATTGATATATTTAACACTGGGATTTGGTTAATTAGTAGTCCTTTTTTTTATTGTTTTCCTATATATTTGAGATATGGCCGGTGTGAAGGTTAAAGATGCTTCGACGTACAAGCTAAGAGGGTCCTAGCTAGCTTCTTATAAAATTAATTATTTATGGTCGTTACTACTTACTACTCACTCGTACTTACATATATTGGTTAATTAACATTGTTCCCTACCTGTACATGCTTGAAAAGGTTCGACTTTAGTTTTGTTATGTACCAGAAAAAGGGAAAAAATTGTGTTTGTTGTCTCTAAATTGTTGACCAAAGGTGTTCTGTGTTAGGTTTATGTATTCACTCATAGAGTGGAGATTCCATTAAAGGATATTAGTTATTGTGAATGAACCAATTCAACCCAAAAAAAGTTTAAATTTATGATTTATAGGCTTTTTTTATCTAATCTAACAAATATTAATAATATTATATACTCCCTCCGTCCCCCTAAGATGTTCTCATTTTGACTTTTGGTGGTTTTTAAGGAGAGTTGAAAAAAGGTGAAAGTTTACCATAATACCCTTAATGAAATATGGGTGGAGTGTATTAAATGAGGTGGTGAGGTGTAATAAATAAAGTAAGTGGGGGTAGTTGTGGTATTTTAATTGTTAAAAAATGAAATGAGAAGATCTATTGTATACAAAGAAAAAGGGCTATTGAGAAGATCTATGGGGGACGGAGGGAGTATGTTTTTAGGTAAAAAAAAATGCGGCATTACTTTGCAAGTGCTCAAAAGCCCAACAACGGGCTAATTAAATTAGACATCTAGAAGTGTCATTAATAACTTTTAAGGACATTTTACAAATTAGGTGTCATTAAATTATGTCCTTGTATCCCAGTTTTTTAGTAGTGTCAAAAAAGAAAACACAAAGTCAAGATGAGAGGAATCATGCTCTCTTCCCGAAACAAAAATTGGCCAACAAGGCCTTACAGAAATTAATATTATTAAAGTGAATTTACCTAAATAGAACTAATTAAAACAATAAAACATAATAATTTAATCGATATAGGATCATATGTTTTTATTTCCCAACGAATACTAAAATCATTGGTCATTATTCATTAGTCATTATTCAAGTTAATGTTTACCATTACTAGACATTATTCCTCTCACTATACATCATTAAGTACTATTTAGAGAATAAAAAGATTTAAAACTGAGTCATATTTTAATCATATTTAGTACAAATTTCACTGTTATTAATTCAAAAGACTCTAGAATACATTTAAGTGTGTATTTTGGATACTCATTGGCAAGATTTCCATTTATTTCATAAGTGCATGTCTTGATCATGTAACAGTCTCTTTTTCACTTATACTTAAATGCATTTCTCTTGTCAAAGAACCAGTGTGAGGACACTTAGGGAGGGTCCCTTGTTCAATCGTCTCAAACAAAGTCAAAACCCAACGCAGTTGGTGGATATCTGAGTCTGTGGCCCAATTAGGAACAGCCCAATCGAAGTTTTGCTGGCCCAATAGTGGGTCGGGAAGACATCCAACATCCGAATAAATGTAATTCCCTAAATTGTGGGATTGAGGGGTAATCAATAACCGGTTCTCCGCCATGGTTGATACACGGTCGGCGAAATGGCCGATGATGTAGCGCACGACAATACTTACTATGTATAGGATAAACTTTAGCTATAGATAGGAGACTTGCCCTCCATTGTAAACCAAACAAAAAAGTGTTAAACACAAGAGAAATATAAAGCCAATTTTCTTAATAGCATTTCTCTTATTCTTCGTACATCATAGATTCATAGTTGTAGCGCTAAATTTTATCAGCAGTCAATTCAAGGCAGTGTATACCATGAGCTCACTTGGTCGTTAGCCTGATCTCATAGGGATTGCATCTTGTGCCATGTTGGTGCTCAAAGACAAACATAGAAAGTCTTTACACTGTTTAATTTTTTCTAATCTTCATGCTAAGTCAAACTGAAAAAGAATTAAATCTAGTGCCATGGAATGAGGAAAAGAGAAAATCTGACCCAATTTAGGCCCCGTTCCGTTCAACTTATTTTTTCTTATTTTTTCTTATTCTTATTAAAATCAGATCAGATCAGACCAAACCAGATCAGATCGAATCAAATCAGATCAGATCAGGACTTATTAAAATCAGATCCCATCAAGAATTATTATTATTATTATTGTTATTATTATCATCATCATCATCATCATCATCATCATCATCATTATTATTATTATTATTATTATTATTATTATTGTTCTTAAAAATGAAAAAGAATAAACTTTAGAAATAGGTTAAATAGAAAACTGAGATAGTAATCTTTAATTATTAGACGTCGAAAAATTAGTTTTAAAATACATTGACAATATCAATCTAATTCTACTTTTAAAATATATTTTTATTGCTACTTGTAATTTGAGTTTCTAAAGTTTTGATTTTTTATAAGGATGAGATATTTTAATAAAAATACTATCTCTTATATATATTGATTATCTAAATTTAATTACTTTTTAATGTATATCTAAATTAAATATTTATTCTAATGTATATATGAAGTAATTATTAAAATATTAAATTAATATTCTAATTTCACAAAAAAATAATCATAAAATAAAAAATATTATTACATTATAATATGAATGATTATTCTAATATATGAATTAACTATTTTTATTTTATTAAAAAATAATCATTAAATAAAAAATATTGATTATATTATAATATGAATTATGATTACAATTTTCAAACGTTATTATAAAGTCTAATCAAATTATTTATTTAAAATTTTAAATTAAATCATAATTAATCAGATCAAATCAGATCTAATCAAATCAGATCAGATCAGGTTAGATCAGATCCAATCAGATCAGATTAGATCCAATCAGATCAGATCAGACCAGATCAGATCAGAACTTATTAAAATCAGATCAGATCAGAAAAAATAAGTTGAACGGAATGGAGCCTTAATAAATCAGACAAATTCTATCAAAAAATACAATCTGTATAACACCCAATGAATCTGAGTTTTAAAAGGTAATTAACACATGTTTGATATATCTAGCTTATATTTACTTTTTACATTTCTCATTGCTGGCATTTTGATTGTTCCCTTATAAATCTCACATTTGGCATTATAACGTGCAAAGAAGTCCACATTTTCCTTTAATTTTAAATTTGGGTGCTTGTCTCAAAAATAATTCAATTTTAGTCTTGTTAAAGCAATAATTCACTACAATTCTTTTGCCAAATTATGAACTTTAATTAGTAAAGTTTAATTATGGACTTTGAGGATGGGAAACATATTTTATAATACATTTTTCGCCAATTTTCTCGTGCTAGCATAATATTGGCGGGGTTTGTTACAAAAGCCATCTTTGTGTTATTCATTGCCAATCAAGAAACATCTCTTTTGCTTCTAGTATCACCCTTCCAAAAACCCCCATCCCATCTCCTTTTTTTTCTGTTTCATTTTTAAAAGCAAAATCTATGTGGGGGAAAGAACATAACTGCAGATCTTTGATCACCCAACACCTAAGACATCAAGCTAGACCCAGATATAAAGTTACATTCTCCGGCATCTCCGACCTTTCCCCAAAAAAAATGAATATCATCTTATCCTTAAAATTCTTCTGGAATTAATCAGATACTGTAATTTTCTAGAAAAGATAAATTAAGTTATAATCTTAATATGACGAATAAAAAAGTCGATTTGCGCCTAAAACCCCCTATTGTAGTTGTCAAGGGGTCGTGTTTGGGAACATCGTTTTCGACTAGCGTTAGCATTTTGGATAAAAAATTTTACGGTGTAGATTAATTCTGAAAACATTAACGATAGAGGCTACTGTTGGATAAGTTTTTAAACGTTAACGCTAACCTCAAACGCTGATGTGAAACGAGGCCAAAAGTCGAACTCAATCAAGCATTACCCAAATTTACGCCTCTTCTTTGCCATCTAATGATTTGTATGAGATTAGAGACATACAGCTAGTTAGATCATTATTGGGTGCTCCAAATCTCAACGCACCATCCTCGTGCCCATAATAAAAAACTCATAAGTATATAAATCCAACACTATTTGTTCTATATAAATAACAATATTGTTAGTATATTGTACCATAGAATATATAGATATATATACAAATAAAGAAGATAGATATGGATAAAGAAAACTCCGAATTGATTTGGAAAAACTATCAAATTATTCAAGAAAACGAGAGGCTTAGAAGAATGGCTCAACGTCTAAACCAAGAGAATCAGGCTTTGTTGTCCCAGCTGAAACAAAGGCTAACCGGTCCGGAGTCATCCAGTGGGAGGCCTAATTTCGGGCACAGTTCAACCGGAAACCAAACCAAATCCAACCCCCGAAATGAATAGTCGATTTTAAGTATTTTCTCCGTTCTAAAATATTCCGTACAATTTCATTTTTTTTTAAATCAAATTAGACAGACTTTATTCGTCAATTACATTAAATTTGTGTTACATATAAATTTCTAAAACTTTTCTTTTAAATTAATTCTAAAATAATATATAAAAATTTTTTATTTATTTTACGATTAAAGTTTGTCTAGTTTGATTTGAAAAAAATCAAACGAAAGGAATATTTTACAGGGATGTAATATTGTTTCTATGAGATTCACCACACATACGATTCTTTTGCGAGTACATTTATTTTCTTGCCATAATTGGTAAGATTTGAGTGTTCTTCTACCATTCCCATATATGTTTGTTGCAGACAAATAAAATTATTTGTGAACCATCAAAAGTCATATTTGTATACTCCGTTATATATAAATAAAGTCTTTTCTCTTTTGAATACAATTGTCTTTGTTTGGAAACAAAATTTTGTATTTTGATCATTTTTTAACGTTACACATTAGCTTTGAAAAAACTAAAATTAAACGTTGTCATTATATAGCTTTTCAAAATGCTCAAGTTATTATGAAGTACAAATGAACATAAAAATTAGGGAAATGTTCACAAACACAATTTTCACAAATTTCACAAACTTACTACTTACTACTTGTGAATTTTAATAAAAAAATTAAATAGTCTAAAATAATTTTAAAATAAGAATTTAAACTATAAATAGTAAGTTTGTGAAGTTTGTGATCATTTTGTTTGTGAACCTAGCATTGCTCCAAAAATTAACAAAACTAGTTACGGGAAATGTAAAATAAAAATCACAAAGTTACCTTATTTGAGATGTTTGTGTAATGCTATCATTACTCTACACACTAAACACTACTCCCTCCGTCCCAATTTAAATTGCATGTCTCGATTTGCGATGTTTAACTAAAATTATTTTCAAATCATTTTATATGAAAAACATTGTAAAATTTTAAAATAAAAATTACGTATTTAAAAACAAATCAAAGGATCTACAAAACTAATGGTGACATTACAATATTATTTTATCAAATGACTAACGAAAATAAGGAAACAAAGTAACTAAAATTTGACCATGTGAATAGTAAATAAGTAATTTTATTTGGAATGGAAGCGATACAATTTTGAAAAGAATAGTGAGGGAAGGACCTTTGGCTTCCACTCACACCCAACATAAACTTGAACCATAGTTCACACCTATTTAACTTAGTTATCATCTAACCATCAAGGGTTTACAAGTGTGTTATGACCTTGCATGTTTCCCAAAAGACATGTTTCCCAAAAGACTTGTGCCATAGTTTTTCGAAAGAAGACCACTCGGGGCTATAATTTTTCCAAAGCTAATGTTACACTTTTCAAATTGAGTGTCTCTAAATTAATGTTTCATTACTTTTTTTTGTATAAACAACGTTTCTATCCTTCAATCACTTTTACACACACTCTTTATGAATCCATTCACCCCTACCTTTTAAATCTCCCTCTATATCTAAGAAATCTTCCTGTTTTGAATTACAATGTTTGACCAAAATTATTTTGCATTTCTTATTCTAACCACAACACATCATAGTCATATTAGGAGCAAAATTGAAAAGTTAATATCACTTTAAAATTGTCATAATGTATGATGTCAAACCATGGCTTTAGTGTTGGGAGTTGGGACGAAGTATTGTACAAGACCTGAATATTGTGTCGGGCAGAGATGAGCCTAAATCGTGTCTTCGGTATAACTTCAACCCGCTGAATCAAACCCTGTAATTCTGATATCGAAATAGTAAAATGGACTAACAATATGAATTTAGAGAGAAAATACATGGTAGAGCGATTTCTAGCAATGGAGTTGGCTCAAATGGAGAGGAAGAATGGTTCAAAGAACAACCGTTCCTTGAGCCTTCTCATTCAACTTACCTTATTCTGCTCAATAGAATGAGTAGCTTTTCGTATTAGAGAGTACATGTAATTCAACCATTTTAGCCAAAGAACCCTTGCCAGGGGGGTCTAAGACTTGAGTATTACAGCAGTAAACTTTTATGACTAAATGATCTGACAACACTATACAAAGAAGATAGATCAGAACATATGTAAACATAAGGCACCTCATCATATAATCAAGAGTTATTATATGATAAAACAGTAAAAATATGAATGCCATACAACTGCCATTTTTCAACAGGAAACTATATGCTCACTTGTGAAAAATGGATTGCTCACTAAATGCAAGTTGTGAGTAGAGGTAAACACAAACTTGCAGGCAAGAATTAAATCAATGGTTTGAGAATAGGAATTAGATTATCAGCAATAGAGTTCAGAAAAATCAAAGTATCCAAAATTCAATCTCAGCCAATGATACCCCTACTGAAAGATGGATTTTGCTTCATTGAAACTTGAAAGCCATACCGAATACTATAACATATTCATGACACCCAAACACACAACAACCTAGTACCACATCTATAGTGGATCAGAATATCACAAGCAAAGAGAAAAGCATGTATATCAAGAAACAGGCGTACGCAATCAGCCCACGGTGCTCATCCCCATACAATGCCAGCTCGACCACAAGACGGGTGCAAACACGGGTGGACCATATGACAAAGACACCGGCAACAACCTTAATTGCAACCCCTCCGGGCAAGAACAAGGATACTGCTGACAATATCACAATGGGTAGCATACAATAGCCCACTAAGCTGACACATCTGTACAGATCCAAGGACCCATTTCGTCCGGCGAGCATGTTGAACACCACATACAGAAAAACAGAAGCCATGACCACCCATCCCAGGATGATTCCGAAATGGAACTTCCCTGCAAGCAATTGGAATAGCCCGAACGCGATCAGGAACAGAAACGGGCCTGAAAGATCGGCATCTTCGTGAAGATCTGCCTTGACTCGGAAAGGGTTGAGAATCGACAGAGTTTTCTGGTAAATTTGCTTGGTGTTGATCCCGAGCTCCTCGAGGAGCGGCGGCTCGTCCTCGAATCCATTGGATCCGCCGCCGATGGTGGTTGATGCGAACTGAGGGGTGGAGAACGAGGTGGACGCGGCAGCGGAACCGATGTCGAAGGACATGAACGGCAAGTTGGGGTTCGAAGAGATGGGCGGCTGAAAGGGCGCCGTCGGCGGACGACGTTGCTGTACGCCGGGTGTTCCCCCGGACGGGAATACAACCGGCGGTGCTTTGAATTCCTTCGACATCGATCGTAGATCTGCCGATGCCAATGCTAACAAAAGCTGTTAAATTTCGGCTGGATTAAATCGAATCCGTGGATGAAAGGCAGTAGAAACGCGTGAAATTAAAAGAAAATGTTAGGGTTCCAATCGTAGATCGGATGGGCGAAGATGAAAGGGACTTGAAATTCCCCGGCTTTTGGGCGTATATGGTTTCCTGCTCAGACCAGTCTGATCGGCATTATACGACTCCGTATTTGGCGTTTGGTTCACTATTTGTTCAAGTTCCAACAATGCTATTCTCCCTAAAAAACAAAATGGTAAGAGACTCCAAGATTTTGATACTAATTGCACACCACACTTAATTGAGACATTTACACACCGTTAAATGTTTGAGTGTATCTGTGATGGTTTTAATGTGCATTTTGTGTTACTCCCTCCGTCCTTAAACTTTCTTCCCATTTTCCCTTTTTCTCCGTCCTAAAACTACCCTCCCATTAGAAAAAAAAAGATAACAAATGACATTAATACCCTCATGTATTTACACCAATTATCTTCTAACTCTATATTTTGAATGATTGCAAAAAAAAATTTGTATGAACTAATAGTTAACTAATAGTTAGTAATGTGCATTTTGTGTTAAAATTTTACAAAAAACACAAGAAAATTTTTAGAGTTAAGTGCATTGTTTACCCCCGCACTCTTTAGAAATTGCATGTTTTAACCTTGAACTTTAAAAAGTGCACCAATTACCCTTGAACTTTTTGAAAATTGCACGATTTACCCCTGCAGACTAAAAATGCACCAAATACCCTTGAACAAATTAAAATGTTGCATCGTTGGTTCTAAACTATTAGATAGGGAGGGCGTTGCTTCCACGCACAAGAATTGCGTATATCATTCATCTGACCCTTGTGAATTTTCCATTGTACTTTTACCCAAAATTTTCGTCTTTATTTAAATGTTTAGGAATAAACAGTACAATTTTCAAAGAGTTCAGGGGTATTTGCTGCAATTTTTATTGTTCAGGGGTAAACCGTGCAATTTCTGAAGAATTCGGGGGTATTTGGTGCACTTTTTAATGTTCGGGGGTAAACCAAAACGGTGCACTTAACTCAAAATATTTAGAATCACAACAAAAATAAAGATAAATTTTATTTAAAACAATTTTGTTTGTTCAGTGAGCTTCATTAACAGTCAATTTGTAAATTTGGTGATGTTTTATTTGTTACTCTAGTATCTTTCTTAACATAAATATTTTGTAATTTATTTTCTCTTTTGTCTTATAATACAAACTTTTTTCTCAATTTGCTTGACTTAACTTTTCATAAGATGAAATTACTTGGATGTGGTTTGTATAGAAAAATAAAGATTACTCAATTGATAAAAGCATGTTAGAAAAGAAGAAATTATCCTAAATAAGAATAAAACATACAAAAAAATCAAAATAGTGTTCTTATTCCCTGGTAGCAAGTCAATTTTTTTCTCATCCAGTCGAGCCACATCTCCCAGGTTGATATTATATGATTGAAGAGTTACTAGACTGATAGGAGTGGGAGTTACTAAAAGCAAGTCGATCATACTTTCACTTAAAATATACAGAGTACAAGAAAACAGGGCGCCGTTTATTTATAAACTGCAAAACACTGGATACAGATACAGAGCAGTGGACTGCTTATTCAAGAAGAGTAGGGCATTACACACATTAAACTTACTCAACTCATAACCTCAACAGCCTCGAAACCTTTCTCAATCGATGCCTTGACAGCATCGATAACCAGCTGAGTCTTCTTGCTAAAGGTTGGCCACTTTTGTTCTGGTTTTGAACCGTTGTTCTTAATGCCTGAAACCAACCTGGAAAACTCCTCCACCATGAGAACTTCCTGGGGAAGATCGGTGTTGACAATGTGTGTGCTGGGCTTTGGATCCCATGCTGTCACAAACTCGGTGAACCCAGATTTCATCCCGGTGAGATATGACGCGGTTTTCTCATGGTGAGGGATGACAAAGTCGTGGAGATGGAGGGTTCCATTGGTGCCAATGGCAGTGACATCCATTGTCAAGTTACTCAAAAAGGAACACTCGAAAGTTGCCACTTTCCCATCTTCCCAAAACAGAGAGGCACCACAGGCCATGATGACTCCTGCTTTGTTGAAGACTGGGTTCCTCAGAGCAACCACGGATTTTGGTAGCTGGAAATCAAATGCCCACAGAATTGACCTGATACAGTACCACCCTTCATCCCCAAGTGCACCCAGGGCATCAAGATCCGGCTTCACACGGATGTCGTTTTCAAGGAACTCTGGATTAGCAGCATATGTGAAACAGCTATGCACCTGAGAGGGATATGTTCCCCAATTAAACTAACCCTAATTGAAATGCCAAAAAACTTCTGCAAAAATGGGATGAAAAATCCAGAACACGTGCAATTTGGATGACTTTGGGGAGACATTTCAAAGCAATTTGGTATACATATTCGTAAGAACAACGAGACTTGAAAATCATACACCAAAACAAAACTGATAAGCGTACCGATTTGAGTTGGCCGAAAAGGTCTGGATTTGAGAGGAACTCCTTCATCTTGAGAGTGCGAGGGTGGTGCATCCACATGGTAGAGTCCATAAACTGCACCCCGTTGGATTCGCACGCCTCCATGATTGCATCGAACTCCTCGGCATTCAGCGCCACCGGCTTCTCCAGCAGCAGGTGTTTCTTCTTCTGGGCGGCCAGGACGGCCCACTTGGCGTGCAGACTCGTCGGAAGGGGGAGATAGACGGCGTCTACGTCGGGATCGTCGAGAACGGCTTCGTAGCTGCCGTAGATCTTAGCGGATTCCGGGAAACCATTATCGGCGGCAAATCTCTCCGCTTTTTCGAGGCTGCGACTGCCGACGGCGTGAAGGGTGGCGGTACGAGAAAGATTGATGGCCCGGGATAGTTTTCGGGCGATTTCTGCACATCCAACGATTCCGATTCGGATCGGAGAAACAGACATTTTTTTCACCGAGTGAAGTGGCACCGCCGGGGTTGAGAATTGTGATTGCTGCTCGCTTTGTGCTACTCCGTTGACTGCTAGTCTCTTATCCTCTTTGATCCTATCTCAAAAAAAAACTTCTTTTTCTACTTTTTTTCTATTTTATTCTATTTGAACCATCTCTATCCAACTTCTTTTCTAACACTTTCTTCAAATCTCTTCTTGGTTTTCAAGCATTATTTATCATTCACTTTTTTTCATCTTTCTCCTAGTATTTTTCATATATTATCATACACTTTTTATACAATCATGATGACTTCTTCTTCTTCTTCAGACAAAGCCAAAACTCTATTCGTAAATGTGATTGTGGAAGCGGCACAAATTTTCTCAGAGGCAGCCCAAAATGAAAACACGCACGCACCGACGAAGGAGAATAGAATGTCGAACAGAGATTGAACGGTATAATAATTTTAAATATTACGGTGTATGTTAAAGGTTTATAGGTTTTTTTCAATAATTATTATGTTTAGCATTGGTGGTCACGATCATTTTGTTGCAGATTACTTTGACAAAAAATTGGTGTACCCCTACACACAATTCAAAACACCAATTTTGCATGAGTCGCCTTCTTTTTCTCCATGTTGCTGATGATTTAGCACGTGCAGATATAATTTTACACTACAGTCAGATGTCAAATATAGGATATATTTTTCTACTCTACAAAAGTGCACCGTGGTGATCCGACAACTAGAATATGGCACCGCCCCCGCTCGATGAGCACTTGATGATATTGCACAGAACATCCACTGAGTGCTTGTGTCAGTTCTCGAAGTGGGTGATGAAGATCTACATTAAACCATATTTACAAAAATCCACTCAACGTGACATACTAAAACTATATGCCACCCATGAAGCAAGTCAGAGACTCCCTGGTATGCTAGACAACATTAAATATGCACATTGAGTGTGGTGAATTGTTTGAATGCATGGTGTGGTCAATTTACATAGGGTTATCACATCCCTTCCACTATAATGCTAGAAGTAGTTTATTCGTATATTTGACATGCTTTCTTTGGTGTTACATTCTCAAACAATGACGGTTCTAGACCAATCAAAGAATTTTAATAATATCGTACAGAGAACTGACACCAATACATTGTTTACAGTTTCATACGTCGATTACAAAAACGGGTATTAAATATATCAAATTTGAGTACACAAATTGATTTGCACAATCTAGTTAAATACGAGAAGCTCTACTATACTTTGTTAGAAAATTACACTCCACACTCACATAGCTCCCCAATACAATTTTGTCATAAAACATACATGCTCCATAAAAGTATTGGTTGGCACGAAAATTATAATCAGCCCAACACAAAACTTCAACGAAAAAGCCCTGCAGCCATACATAAAACAGTGCGCATTCTCATTCTCTTCCTCCTCCCATCGATAGATTATTCCGTCACCTAAAAGCTGCGTACCCGCCGATCGAGGCCGAACGTGTTGTGAAAGTAACCGACTAAATTCGTCACCGTAACAGCCCCACACAGCGCCGCGCGCCGGCGGCTTCTTTCGCCGCTTTTATCTGGCATTGCCCTGTCCCGCCGCTATCCCAATTGCGTCCCAATCGGGTCTGAGCTGTCTGACCGCGTATCCGGTCAACGATACTCCTGGTGTCGTGGTTGACGCGTGTCCCTTTGTAGGACGCTCGGTTTCCTAAAAAAAAATTTGGCGTGTCCCGGCTTCATAGAGCTCCTTGATTGTGGATTGCTGGTTCGTTTTCGATTCTTTAGTTGATTGCCTTTACATCCCTCAGGTTTTTTTTAACTTCTGTTGGTTTTGGAGAAATTGGTATGCCTTTGATTTCTATGCACACAAACTAGGGTTTCACAATTCGTTGAAATGTCTGATTGAATTTGGGCCTTGATGCTTAATCTCTGTGAATTTCATTATACGCTTCGTGCTTGCTCTACTGGAGGCCAGCAAATTACTCTGCCTGGCCATTAGTGGCAAATTCAATTTTAGTTTTCTTGTCGCAGTTTTCCAGTCAATGGCCATTCTTTTTAGGCTTTCATAATGGGAACAGGCTTAAAAATCCGACTTTTTTTTACTGGAGACGTTTAGTTTTGAAATTTAGTGTGCATTATATCCCAATTTACCTCCTCAGTCGGACTGAGGGAGTCCTCAGGGATGAGGCACATCCTTTGAATTTAGTGTGCCAACCACCCTTCACCGTTCACTCCATTTCTGATGCGTTGGTAAAAAATGTTTTTGTACAGTGGCTGCTGGATTCTTTTGCATTTCTTATGGTGAAAAATAGTAACTTTTCACTGAAATTTTGTCAAGTTTATCTTTCCCCCATATAGCGAGGTAGATAGATTGCCAAAGTTGCTTGCTGTGGCACTGTGCCCTGAGGCCCATTACAGTTAATGCTTGCTAAAGCTGCCATTAACTTTTTTTATAGTTTTGTTTCGTTAGGCTATTTGAAGTCATCAGCTGGGAGAAGGTTATTTGAACAAATGTGTTGTCTCTGAGCCTCACAATGGCTGGGAATGCAAGGTTTGAATTAAAATCTGCTAGCCCTGACTCAGGATTTGCTGGAGGCTACATTAACGGGCAAAGAGGTGCATATAATGGTCCCATCTCAGAGAGATCTGTGAGTTTCAGTGAGAGTGCTGGTAGCAGGGTGTTTGGTTATGGGAAGGGTTCAACTCGTGCCAGTACAATATTGATGGGAGAAATACCTCTAGTATCTCATTGTCTAACGTTAGAACCAATTATAATGGGAGAACCAAAGTTTTCTCATGTTGCCGAGTTGAGAAGGGTTATGGGACCTTTGGCGAGCACCTCTGAAGACAATTCTTTATTTATGGATGAGCTAAGGCGTTATATGGCTAATGTTGCATATCAATCCAATAAGGCTAGGTATCCCGTTCTACCAAAACGGATATGTATAATTAATCTATTGCTATACCGCCTATACACCTGTTTTGTTTTCTAATTATTTGCTCCTGAGTATTTTTACTATCATGATGAACATTCTTTTACGGTCTTGGTAAGGCATCATCTGAATTTTCTTTCTATATCTATGTGCTCATAATAGTAAGATTTAAGATTTGGGGGTTCTATTGGTCCTTGTGTTTAATGCGAATGGAGAAAATTCATTATGTTTTACCTTATGGATACTGCTGTGTTTATGTTGTTTGCTTAGTGTAATATTTTATGTGTGCTGGGAGAAATAACTTGTTAGAATAAGGACATGGTTTTGTATCCATTATTCATAAATATGTACAGAAGTGTGTGCATGTGCTTGTGGCATGCATTGGAATTTTGCTTATTATGATTGCTTTTGTTTTGATTAGTGGCAGAACAAAAATTGTAGATGGTCTACTGCATAATGTGAACATTTATACTGAAGTTACAAAGAAGCAGCAAAGAAATGACCTGTTAGTAAATGAAAGATCAGGGGTCCCAAGCTTAAAGACAGCGATTCAGATTTATCGAGGGCCTTCAGAACTAGCACAAAAGCAGAAGCCGGATGATCGTCCTAAGAATGGCACTCTGATTAAGCGCACTCGCACGTCTGTTGCAGAAACCCGGGTTTGTTTTATGTTGAAATTTCTCGTGTTGAGTTTTCAAAATGTACTGTTGTCAAACTACTCTTTTAATAATAAGATCTACTCCCACAGTCCCACAAAAGTATCCCAACTTTCTTTTTTCATCCGTCCCAAAATAATTTTCTACTTTTGCTCTTTCTTTTTTGGAAAAGAATGTGGTCCAAAATACATCTCTTCTAAAGAAATTCTCACGCTCACTTTTCAACAATTTTTCAGCACTTTTCTCAATACTCGTGAAGTCAAAATGGGAAAACGAGTTCGGGACGGAGGGAGTATATGAGAGCACTAATGTGTACAACTCAAAAATATAATTTTGACCTCCTTTATTCAAAAGTGAATTACTCCATAATATTGTGTGTGCATGCGTGCTCCTTTTATATCTTAACACGAACTTCCGTGTATTAATGTCCTATTAAGTTGCAAGATAGTTTTGCAGTGAATTTTAGAAACTAGTGTCTATGTGTATGGATGAAAGTAATGGCATTGTACTTGTGTTTATGAAATAATCCTTCCATCCCATAATAAACTTCATAGTAGGCTTATGCATACTTGTTAAGGGCAGTATGCAAAATAGAGAGAAATTTAAAAATAGACTGCAATGTTTAATCTGTACTCATTAGTTGGTGAGATAAGGGAAAAAGAGAGAGAGAGAATGTGGTTGGATGTGATAAAGTAAAAAGTGCTAAATATAATATTTAAATGAAATAATTGTACCCAATAAATGTAAGGCTTTTCTCTATGACAACTTTGGGAAAATAAATCATGGCCCCATTAAAGTAAGAAAAGAAAAATAAAACCAAATAGAAAAGAAAACTTGGGGTCCATTGTTTTGCCTTGCAGATTTTAACTATTGTTTTGTTATAGTAGTAGAAAATTGCGACATTTTTAAATGAGGTGAAATTTCAAAACAAAAATAAAATAATTGAAAGTGGTGTAATTTTCCCACTTTGTGGCAACTCACTTCTATTTCAGTACATGCACCATTTTTTCTCTTTTTACCTTTACTCGCCGTGCGTGATTCCCACTTAAGGGAATCATCATCTCATGGACTTACCATTGAGGAGGCCTAAGTGTGAAGTTTATGGTGAGACTTCCCCGTATGGAAAGGTGATGTTTTTATGGGACAAATCGAACACTAACAACCCAGTAGAACCCCACAAGAGTAGGGTCTAGAGAGGGTGTGTTTACACAAACCTTACCCCTACTCGAAAGTAGAGAGGCTGTTTCCAAAAGAGACCCTAGCTCGAGAAAACTCATAATGCACAAAAAGCAAAGAGTACGACAAAATATGGGTAAAGAAAATAAACACAAAATGAAAGAAAATCATAGAGAAACAGAAAGCACCACACAAAGAAGCATGCAATAACAAGTGCAAAAACTGCCACCATGTCCAAAAGCCTACCCAACTACCCTAGTCCTAGCTCTTTTGTCTCTCGCTGCAATCTATAGACAGAATCACCTCCCCCCCCAACACCACCACCACACACACATTGTGCTTATCTGCTCATCCTTTTAATGTATTACTTTCAATTTTTGTCGCATGTGCACCACCTTTTCCATGTTATCAACCTTCAAGTTGCATATCACTTCACTTACAATTAACCTGCCCTTGCAAGAATAGAAAATTTCCCATACCAGCCATGTGTAATGTAACAGCATTCTAGTTCTGAACTCTCGATGATTTCTCCATCACAATAGAATTTGACCTTTCCTTTTAATTTTTTTTTCAGTCTGAATACCGGACAAATGGTTTGCAGAGGCAGCCTGCACTAATAACAAAAGAGCGAGATATGCACAAGGATAGCAATGCAGACTGTGATATGACTGAAGAAAAGGTTCACAAGTTCCCTGCTGGAGGTGAAGGTTGGGACAAAAAGATGAAAAGGAAACGCTCATTTGGTGCTGTCAATTCAAGACCTATTGAAGATGACGGTGAAGTTAAACGGACCATGCATCATAAACCTTCTAGCGAAGCCGGCTTCCCATCTTGTGATTCTCATGGTTTCAAGTGAGTCCTCTGCTGTTCTAGAAGAGTTAGTACTCACTTACTGCTCCGTTCTCTTTTTTCCATAGTCCATATTGCTGCCCTTTGGGACTTAGTTGAATGAATATGTATTCATTTTACTTAATTATATTCAGAACATTTTAAAAGATTAGTGCTTTCTTAAATTAATTAATGTCATATTTGCTCATATGTGAGGATGGTTTTGAACTCCCGGATAACAGGTGGCTTAGGCTATGTTCGTACAGGCTCTATGTTACTGATCCAATATAGAATACCTTTATTAATTAGAAAAATGTGATTTTTTTTAATTGTGTGAGCTTTTGGAATTGGGTAAGAAGTCTATTCGTTTTGTGTCAACAAGTCGTTGAATTGTCTTAGCTTTTGCATTCCAGGAGACATCATTTTTCCTAAAGGCTAACAGTCAAAACCGATCAGTTCATGCACCATATTATTGTGGATGGATTGTTGGGTACTACTCCCTCCGTCCGGAAATATTCTTCCCATTTTCCTTTTTGGTCCGTCCGGAAATATTCTTCCCATTTCCCTTTTTAGTATACTTTTTAAGGCTAAATATCAATAATACCCTTCTATTTTATCACAAATATACTTTTTTAGTACTTTTTTAATAATAAAAGGAGATTTAAAAGTTTATAGTTTGTGCATTTTTGAAAATTTTGCATTTTTTTTACTATTCCTTAATAAGCGTGCCAAGTCAACCCGGGAAGAACATTTCCGGACGGAGGGAGTATTATTGTTCTGGACCATAATGATTTATTGTCTAAGACTTAAATTTTCTGTTTCTAAGCTCTGATATTGTTTTATAACTTGAAGTGGATGACTAGCGATCTCATCTGGTCAAAAGTTTGTTCCAGTTATTTTAGTCAAAACCACCTCATTCTCTCTCTTCTTCTCAGCAGATCAGGATTGTCTGGTGCTGCTGGTGGCAATAGCAAGTCAGAGGGAACTTCACCTGCTAGTTCCAGTGGCCGTGCACTCCAAAGTGAGCAGGAAAAATCCCCTTTGTCTAGGGATTTGACAGCTGGGTTGAACAAGGAGAAAGTTTTTGCAAAAGGACACTTCAAGTATGGCTTCAATTGCACAAATCTATTTAAATATTTCTTCACAACAAGGCCTTAAGCTTCATTCGTTTTCTTTCATTTTTTCCCTTTAGATTTAATAGCTGTGACGAAATCAATGGCTGTCCTAGTCCAATAACAAAAGGAAAGGCATCAAGGGCTCCACGAAGTGGTTCTATGGTTCCCAATAATTCAGCCTCCACTGTTCCCCGAGTACCTGGAACCCATGAAAGCTGGGAGCAGGCACCAAATGGAATAAAGAACCTTTCTGTTGGTGGTGCCAATAATCGCAAGCGTCCATTTCCTTCAGGTTCATCTTCACCTCCCATTACGCAGTGGATTGGTCAGCGGCCTCAAAAAATTTCTCGAACAAGGAGGGTTAATCTTGTATCTCCAGTGTCAAACAATGATGAGATACAAATGTCATCTGATGGTTGTTCCCCTTCTGATTTTGGAGCTAGATTAACTACTAGTGCAGTAAATCACTCTCTTTTACCCAAAGGCACAGTCAACGAGCCACACAATGGAAAGGTCAAGACTGAGTGTGTTTTATCTCCAACTAGATTATCTGATAGTGAAGAGTCTGGTGCCGGTGAAAATAAATTAGAAGATAAAGGCATTGGCTATAGTGAGGCAGAGGAAAAAGCTGCACCTGCTGTTCAAACCCTTGGGCCTCCTGCTTCTCACATGAAGAACAAATTCCTTGACAAGGACGCAACTGGTGATGGTGTACGACGACAAGGACGCAGTGGAAGAGTTTCATCATTTACTAGGGGTAACATTTCACCTACGATGGAGAAGCTGGATAATTTGTCCACCACAAAGCCACTTCGGCCAACAAAGCCTATTGAAAAGAATGGCAGGTGGTACCTCTCTTCATTTGCTGACGATGATGATTATGTAGTCACCACATTTACTGTTTTCTCTTGTATCTTACATGAAACCTTTTTTCCTGAATTGCTATAGTAAGTCCGGCCGTCCTTTGAAAAAGCAATCAGAGCGCAAAGGGTTCTCTCGCCTTGGGCATCCGACAAGTAGTGAGTCACCAGATTTCACTGGTAATTCTCATAAATTGTTATCCAAAGATGCTTATTGCGTAATAATAAATCAAGATTTATATGTGCTTCATGCCATGTTATTTACTCCGTTAAATAGAAATATGCATTGATCTATAATTTCTTTGTTTATCATGTTAAGCACGTAACTAAATTGTTGCATTCTCCCTCCTTTTCCAGGAGATTCAGATGATGGTCGCGAGGAGCTCCTATCAGCTGCTAACTCAGCACATAACTCTAGTGGTATGCACGCTTTAAACTTCTGCTTCTTAGTCTCTTATACTCCACCTTTAGGGAGAGAGGGAGTGAGGAAGGAATCTGTATAGATGCTTTAAGAGGGGTTTTGTTGGCTGTTTTTGTAGTTCAAGCATGTTCAAGTGCATTCTGGAAGAGGGTAGAGGCCTTCTTTGCTTCAATCAGCTCAGAAGAGAAGCTCTACCTATCAGAGCAGGTGCCCACCTTTAGAAAAGTATTCACACTACATGACCATATGGCGCTGCACCTTTTCTTTAGTAGATCTGATTTAATAATTTTTTTCTTCTTCCTTTGATCAGTTGAAATCATCAGAGGAACTTCATACAAAACTAACAAAGATTTCATGCTCACAGAATGGTGTTCTGGTACATTTTTGTAACCTGTGAAAAACTTATTTGCTACATTTTTACCCGAATTATATTCACTTTTCTATATGTTGTTCATATGCACGAAAGTTTGAAAGCATCTTTTGTTGCACCTTTTTTCATGTTTGGATTACAGAGTGATCATGTGCCTGATGGAACTTTTATAGCAGACCCCGTTTCTGCTGACCGCAAAAGATGCATGAAAAACCAAAGTGGATCAAAAAGTGCAGATCTTGTGGATAAAGCTCAAAATTCTATTCCAAGTGAAAATCTAAATTCAAACAAAAAAATCAACAAAGTTACTCCACTGTATCAAAGAGTGTTATCAGCTTTGATCATGGAGGATGACCTTGAAGAGCTTGAAGAAAACAAGGTTGAGAGATCTTCATCATTACAGGGTCTAGGGGATTCACCTGATGAGGCATCCCCTTTTGTTGACTTTGTTGGTAATAGAAATATGGATAGGACAGAGTTTGCACGTGGATCAGTAGTCGGTGTTGTTCAGTTAGAGAAAAATGGAATATCAAACAAATTTGCTTCTTGCAACGGATATGGTACATACACTGGCATTCAGGATTCTCCAGATGGTATTGAAGTGCCACTAAGGGAGAATGGTTTCATGCATTCAGAGATTGGATTGCTGGTTGACCTTTCAAGATGTAACAACTCAGAGGGTCTCCAAAGTCGGGTTACTAGTAGTTTCAGCATTTCTTCTTCGGATCACCAATATGCTCAAATGTCTCTCAATGATAGACTTTTGATGGAGCTTCAGAGCGTTGGCATCTATGTAGAAACTGTGGTATGCTTTTCTATAGTGCTCATGCTCAATGATAGGCTACTACTAATTTTTATCTTTCTAAGAACTTTTTCATATTTGTTTGGACTGTAAGATGACAGTTGTTTACTTACCAACTATACACATTCATAATACAAAAACGACAGGGGTTGGAAGTGTTACTCCCTGTTTGGATAATTTTTTAGGAAGGAAAGAAAATAAGGATAAAAAATTTGGGAGGAGAAAATAAAACTATTTTCCCTCTTGTTTGGATATTTTAGGATGGAAGGAAAATAAATCTATTTTACCTCCTAATTAATAGAGTGAATGTAGAATTATTTACGATTTAAAGTTTTCTCCCATTTTAGGAGGAAAAGTAATGAAAGAAAATTAATGGATATTTTCCATCCTCACTTATTTTTCTTCACCTTCCCAAACACATTATATCCACTCACCTCTTTATTTTCCATCCTTTATTTTCCCTTTTCCAAACAAAGGGTTAGGAAATGAGTTAGGTAATGTGTGCGAATTTACTGCCATACCCTTATGAAATTACTTTTTACTTTCACTTTATATGGATATGGTGGTAAATTCACACCCATTAGCTAACCTATTTCCTGCCTCCTCCCTGACCCTATATCATTACGCTTCACAAGGTCATGCATACCCATGTTTTTTGTCTGGAGTATTTCACTTTGGATTGCAATTTTGTGATCAATCGGGACAAAACGCTGAAAAATAATAATATAATGTCCCTAGAAATATGTTACTACATCTAATCATCTTTACATTTGGTTTTTTATTTAACATATCCCAACGTATTTTATTTCAGCCCGGTTTAGAAGATAAAGAAGATGAAGCGATCAACCAAGAAATTGTGCAGCTGGAGAGAGGACTATATCAACAGGTTTCTGGAATTCGCTCTAATAATCTAAAATATAATTCTCAGAGTTCTTTAGTATATAGCAATAATTAAACTCATAACAAATGCTTATTAGTTGCTCTTTATGATGTGTGCAGATTAGTAGAAAGAACGCACACCTTGGTAAAATATCTCACGCAATACAAGAAGGCAAAGATATTGATTGCCGGTGGGTATTTATATTACAAAAATCATTTTTGATTTTCTTTTGGACTTCACCACTCAATAAGAGCAACTTTGTTACTGTTTAGGGACCCTGAGCAGGTTGCAATGAATAAGCTCGTCGAGCTGGCTTACAAGAAGCTATTGGTAATTTATATTCTTTTGCCTATTGGTTTCCTTCTACTTCTCCAGTGCACGAATTTCTTCCGTTCTTATTCACCTTGTATTTATTTATTTATTAAATAAACATATAACAGGCAACTCGGAAGGCTCCCAAAATGGGGTTGCCTAAGGTGTCAAAACAGGTGGCATTGGCTTTTGCGAGGAGAACACTTGCAAGATGTCGCAAATTTGAGGAAACAGGGGAAAGTTGCTTTAGTAATCCAACTTATAGGGACATTATTTTTGCTTCCCCTCCTCGGTTTAGTGAAGCAGAGCTTTTAGCAGGTACATTCATTGCACTTAGTAAAATATATCAAGCATCTTACACCGTGGTTAATTTTCTGTTTTTAATGCCATGACCACTTATTAGGTTTCTCTCCCTTGTGATTCAGGCTCCCCTTTTTTATCCACGTATGTAGGGTGATTATCTGTTCAATTTTTGTCCTGGCCACTTTGGGAAATTGGCACAAAGAATGCTCTATCTTGTTTTATGTTACGTGACCCCAATAAACAACCTTCATGTGTAGAGTTGAACCTTATAATCCTTCAAGACAACTAATTCCTAAACTAATAAAAAACTATAGTGACAATTTTGTTTGATTTTGTATTTTTGTGTGGCCTAGTGGATTTTAGGGCAAGTTTGGTGAGTATCGGGAGATATACTGATATCACAACCATTCTGTGGGTGTAATGATGAAACCTAAACAAGATTTGGATTTCATATCTTCCGATATCACAACCTTCCCGAATGGGAATGTTGTGATATCTCTCCAATTTTGGGAGATATCATGGGTTTTGATATCCCATGGCCACCCTTGCTTGTCACTAACAACCATATTAGATTTCAAATCTTTCCAAACACTTAAATTTTAGATTCCAGAACCCATATCATATCAACCCTTCGCTGACCAGAGGGCCCCTTAGAATTCCATATTTCCATACTCATGCAACAAAAGAGAAAAAAATGAGTTGAAAATTACAGAGTACTACTACATATGTCTCATAAAAGACCTGCTTCAATTCCAATTTTGTCCTTTCCACAAAGATAGTCTAGCTTTTAATATTTGGTCTGCATGTAAATCCAATCCTTCATTTGTTTGGCAGGGTGCAACATTTCGGGCAGCGCTGGATCAATATACCCTTGTAATAACAATCGTCAATCCGACCAAGCTTTTGCAAGAAACGGACCACTATCAAACAGAGGGAGGAAGAGAGAAATATTGCTTGACGACATTGGCAGCTCTGCCTTCCAATCCACCTCCACTCTGGGTGGCACCACCACCCTGTTTGGCGGCGCAAAAGGAAAGCGAAGCGAGAGGGATCCCTCATCTGCCCGGAATGCGAAAACGGGTCGCTCTTCTCTTGGGGGCAACTCTAAAGGTGACCGGAAAACGAGAACAAAGCCCAAACAGAAGACTGGGCAGCTTACCACTACATCTTATAACAAGTTCCTGGAAACCCCAAACCCCTTCCAATCACCAGTGGATGCCATCAAGAATGATGGGAACATGAAAACAGAAAGTTCTGCAGAGGTCAAGAACGATTCTGCAGACCCGATAACAAACGCACCCTTAATAAACGACATTGTTGACGAAATAGGAGAAGACCTGGGTGCGGGTTCGCAGGATTTGAATGCTTGGTTCAACTTTGACGTGGATGGTTTGCAAGATCAAGATTGTATTGGCCTGGAAATACCTATGGATGACCTCTCGGAGTTGAATATGTTTTAGCTTGTGTCACTTTGTCGCTCATTTATTTACCTGTAAATGCCTGTGGTTTATTTAACAACCTGTAGTTACTAGTGATCTTTGTTTTAATGTAACTAGCATATTTCATGGGTTTGGGCCAAATCCCTCCCTTATTTGTCATCTATGTATTTTTTTATTTACTTCTGAAAGACGACTTTATGCTGTCTCACTCCCATTGGGTGGGTGTACGTAAATCTTATCCCTACTCAAAAGTAGAGGCTGTTTCAAGAGACCCTCAGTTTGAGTAACACAGAAGCACAAAGCACGCAGAAAGAAACATAAAATAGGCGAGAAAAAAATGAAGCACACATTGTTAAGCACGAAAGCTACCGTCATACTATGCAACTATTCTATTTCTATCTCTCCAAACACTTTCATCTAAAGTTGTATCCTCGGTAAGTGCCAAAAGTCTAAGGTCTAAAAAGATAGCCATTAACTATGTAGAGTGAAAAATGACCGTCTATACTCGCGTAGATGTTCTAAAAAGATTATACAGATGCTCGTTTTTTGCATCTTGGTTGGAGTTGCTCTTATAAAATACAGTTCTCAATAGTTATATTGCATAAAATATTCAGCCATCACAAGTAAACACCGCATCAAATTATCAGGCCAAAATCAATTGGGAAAAACTATCTAAATAGTAAAATGTCCATCCATCACGAGTACTAAAATACGATTTTCAATATTTTAATACTAAAATGAAATTTATAATGTCAAAGAGTATCAATACGAAATTTATAATATGAAATAAAACTGTGAAAGCTCATTGTCAACATTGTTATTTTATCCAAATAAAAATACATAAAATTTTATTTTGGTAAAAGTTTAATTCTTTAATCTTTATTTAATTATACTTTGGATGAAAATATCACACTATATTTCTATTGTATTTTACTTTATGAGAAGTGTGAATGTATGGAAAGATCTCATGGTAAGATGATGTCCTATTTCTTTTTAAGTTGAGTAAGATTGTGTATATTTTGACATTCTAAGGGCATTTACAATGGCCCAATTCCCGCCCCGCCGCACAAAGTCCGATGCAGTGCCACGCCTGGCGCTCCACTACCAACTCCCGCCGCGCTGCACGCCTCGCATTTTGCCCGAAGAGCGGTGCAAAGCTGCGCAGGAAAAGGGTTGTTTTTCATGGTGGCCGCCCACTGCAGCGGTTCGCCGCACCGGATTTCTTTCTTTTTTTCTTTCAACTCTATAAATTCAATATTAGCATTTTTATTTTAATTTTATGTATTTTGTTTTTTAAATTTTAATTAAAAATAATGAATAATGTAAAATTAGAGACAGATTTTCAGAGCGATATCATTGCAGGATTTTGGGTAGGGACAGAAACTTAGGGGAATATCGATGTGGCAGGAGTTGGGGCGGGGCGGAAAGCCTCCCATTATAAATGCATGCTCTAAACACCAAAATACTGCCAATAATGGTTTACAAATCTTATACTCTGTGTCTAAAAAATATAGTTATATCTCGATTTCTTGCATATCTCACGAAATACTTTTAACTCACCTAAAATGTCTAAAATACTTTTAAAATAACTTCTATTACAATAAAGAAGAAATGGTTGTATTTTAGACCGGAAATGAGGATAAACTATTTTTTTCAAATATATAGAGAAAGAATGTTTAAGTGATTGTACATAAAGTGGCACAAAAATCCCAAGGGTTTGGTCCTCTTTGAGTTGGCTAAACTAGTTGCCATTCTCACGTAACGAGTGGGTTCCGTTAGGTAATTGGCTTTGGTGCTTCAAAGTTGGCTGGCTTACCAAAATCTTACAACTCGTATTTTTGTTAATCGGCTCTTAAAATAACGTGGTGTTATCACATGTTGCTTCTTAAAGAAATTGATATATATCTTTAATTAAATTATGTATTTCTCGTATTATTTAATCTATATTTCTTAATTCCTTCATTTCTAAATTACATTTCCAATTTTACTTCATGGAATTTAAGAATAATTTTTTTAAATGAAAATTATGTGATAATAACCGGAGTAATAAAAATTACTTGGAGTATGTGTATTTTTATTTGGAGAGAAATAAAAATACTCGGAGTACTTCACTATTAAAAAGTTACTAGAATTTTTATTTATTTGTACGTTTTATTTATTATTTGATATAATAAAATATTCATATACTCTTATTTTGTAAAAAGTTTGACATATGGAGTAGTTTTAAATATGTAAATTTTATTCTTTATTTTTATATAAATCACTAAATAAAATAATTTGAAATATATGAAATTTCATTTTGTTTTACGTATAGAAACATTTTTTTGGATCGGGAGAGCATTATGAACTCTATAATGAAAGAAGTGTAGTTTTTTCTTTCGAAAGTATGAAATAATAGAAATGTTAGAATATACGGAGTATATGTATATATGAGCATACAATCACAAGTTTGAATTTTTTTGTTAAAATTGAGTCGTTGACAAGAAGTTAAATTTGAAGATAGACTAAATATGACAAATTACTCCGTCTACATTTAAAAAGAATAATGCTACTTCGACCCCCAAAAATGTAAACCTCATCTTAAACTTCACACTTACAAATCTATAGGTAGGAATCTGAATCCAACATCTGAGATGTCTGCAGGATTTATAGAGGAGTGTGGTTAAAAGTGAGATTTATATTTTTGTGAGTTGTGACTAATATAGCATTTTTTCATTTAAAAATGGCAAAAAATGACAAGTGACCTATAGACATCCAATCTCGTTGTACCGTATGAAGAGATTTTAATAGAGATTTGATCACAAATGGTACACATCAATATAATTGTGGCGATGTGGGCCCTACTTCATCCGCCTGGCGGCCTTAACAAATGTGGGCCCAGTTGATCGGCCGGCGTCCGTCTCTTCCAACCTAACGATATATTGGGGCCCCTCGTATCACAATTCACAACTCCGGTCTAGGACTCAGACCACCGGCCCGATTCCATCCCCATCGAACCGGCCGACTCGCTGCTGGCCTTGCTCCCTACCTGCGGCCTCCTCCCTCCGAACCGCCCCTTCAGAGCGGTTCTCAGCGTCTTCCACAGCCCGGTTCTCCTGCCCCCTCCCTCTTTCTTCGTCCTCACCCTCCCCGTACAAGAAACCAAGGGCGAATCCGGTTCGACCGCCCGCGTGCCAGCCAACCCCTTCCCTCCCGGCTCGGACCGGCTTCGGAACAGCAACCTTGCCGCTGCCGCCGTATGTCGGAGATTCCCGTTGGATTTAGTGATGGTGGTGGCGTGGATCAACGTGGACAGAGAGCGGCGAGAGAAAGCGTGGGTGTTTTGGTGGTGGTGGTGGAGGCGGGTGGACGGGGCGGCGGCGGCGGCGGCGGAGGATCTTGCCAACTTCAAGGAGGATTTACGTTGCATGGTGGCGTTTTGGTAGAGCCAGTCCGCCTCCGAGTCTTTGGCGACCCAGAATGACTCCGGTGGAACGTCAAAGTTGATGTGATGAGACGCACCATCATCGTCCGCCGCCAGGTTGTTTCCATGACGAGGATGATCAGAAGCCGCTGCAGCGGCGGCGGGGAGGATGGCGTTAACTGAAGACATATATGATTATGTGAGTATCGTATGGCTTTATGTACGTGGCTTGAAAAGAGGGACAAATGGAGGACTCAAAATAAGAATGAATTGGTCGGTCGGGGTGAGTGATTATACATTCCAATGTATCGAATTTTTTTGTAAATATGCATGAATACTCTTTTTCTATTAAATAAATATTTATTTTTGTGTAATTGAACATTTATTTTTAAGTATAATTAAATTTTGAAAATATAATTATTCAGCTACTCAAAAATAAATACCCGGAGTATTAAGTAATTTAAAAATAAGTACTCAGTTACTCGATAATGAATACTAGTCATTGATCGGATGTACACCAAACGCCATATGCGGACATAGGTCCGAGGGGGAGAATTTTCAAACAAAAGAAAAACAAGGGCCATTTGATTAATATCATATTTTCCCATTAGAGTGTCATACACACAACAAGAAAAAAAAAGAAAGATACATTCGTAATTAAGGTTCACACTTACTCATCTTATGGACCGTGATATATATATATCATGAATGAATTGGTTTCTTTACAAACAATATAAAATTTTTATGTCGATCCATGAAAATTATAAAAAGATCTATTTTTCACATAGGCTTTATGGTCATGTATGGAAGAAATACAACTCATAGAGAAAATGATTATAAATTATGTTTACGTTTCATCATTTTATCCTACTTGTCGAAAATTATTTTTAATTCAAATTATTTAAAAATTAATTTGAAATTAAAAAAATTTAATTCACCCTTAGAAACTCTCAAACTCCTATATCTAAAAAGAGTTGTGATTTAGTGAGACGGAGGAATTGAAATATGCTCTAGGGATGCTTGTCTTATTTATTCTAAGAGCATGAACAAATATGTTTTGTCGATAGAAAAGGGTTCGGTCAAAAGTAATTTTTTTTAAAGGAAAAAAGGTTTCGTCGGAAGTCAAAATATTGCAAGTTGAGAATATTGGGTGGAAAATAAGCTAAGGTATTCATGTGAAATTGACCTTTAGCAATTAGCATGCAAAATATGTAAACGCAACATCAATTAAAAACGATTTAAAAAATCATTAATTGTATCTTTGAGAACTTAAATTTGGATTTCAAATTTGAATTTCATCCAAATTACTTGTTTGAGAACTCAAAAAAATTAAATTTAAACTTGAATCGAATTCTTCTAATTCAAAACAAACTAAATCACAAACACACCTCCCCATGTCATTTACATATTCAGGCTGAAGTGAAGTTTTTTTATTCACGGAGTACTTATAACTTTGTAAATAAAATAATAATCCCATACATATCAACCTGGTTTCGTCTTTGTCATTGCTGACTTCAAAACTCAAATTCTATGATTTCCTAATCAACATTTAAAATTTGGAACTAACCATTCAAATATGGAAACTGAAATATTAGATTACAAATGAATTCTACTTACTCAACCCAACAAAAAGTAAATTGACTTATATGTATGTGGACAAGAATAAGATCAAAGAAAAAAAAAAGCAAAATACAATTCTCTTATTGGCTTAGTTCATGTAACTGATCCCATCCCAAAGTACTTTGAATTGAGACTTTGTTGGGTTGTAAATGATGAATAAGGAAAGTACTCCGTACGAGGAAACAACACATGAGAACTTGTTTGGCATCTTAACCGTACGTACGAGATTAGATGAGCCAAACAAACAACAAACACAGATCAGACCCATCTTTAAACTGATTTTTATTGCCATAACAATCTAACAAGACGTTTCACACTCCACCAAACACGACGACTATCACAAACCAAATCAAGCTTATCTCCTAGTCTCATCTGTCCCAATCCTATTTAATCCTTGTGCCAAACAAGCCCTCGAGAGCTCTATTTGATTTGTACATCTCTACCCATTTTCACATTGCATTGAATAATTACAATAAAACCCGAACCGGAAACAGAATAAAATTGTCAACATTGGCGTGATTTGGGAGTTTATTACGGAGTATTATCCCACATCAACTAGAATATGAACGAATGATCCCCTTAATAAGTACTCGGTATGAGATAAACCTCATCTCTTGAGAACTCTTATGGGGTGAATTAGCCTAGTAACAGTTATTCTTAACATGTTACCTTTGTTGGTAGTGGTCGACACTGGAACCATAGTTTTTTAATGTTGAAACACAAACACATCCGTTGCAGACAGATGTTTTCTGCACTTAGAAGTGAGGGATTAGCTCAAGTTTGCGGGATTGAAAGAACTTGCTGCTTCGCCCTTTCCCACTTGACTCAATCTCTTCACTATTCCTTTTCAAACTGCTACTGAACCCAATGTTAGTTAGCTTTAACTGCCGCTTGTTGGATTTACCGTTGCTTTTGTCTTCGCCATTCGCATCGCATTCCCTAAATCCCTCAAAATTAAACCATATTATTGATGTATTCCCATAGAATATTTTGTTTAAAATGATTTATAATAGAGTAATTGCTTTGTAGTTAAAATATATTGACCTACATATATGACAATATTGCAAAAATGTAATGTAACTACCAAAAAAATATAGTAATAATGCAAAACAAGTTCAGATGAAAAAACAGTTGAATGAATTAAGAAATTAACAATTACCCCAAATTGGAGGAGAGAGATATATGGAGAGTTTGGAGAATTTTATAGTTCATTCACTTTCCTCTGCATTCCCACTAGCCCCAACTAAACACACAACTCCTTCACTTCCTTCCGATCCCTCCCCAATTTTTGTTATCCAAACAAGGGTTAAGGCTACTCTTACATAGAGGAAAGAGCATATTCCAGCATACAAAATGCTTATTATAGAATTATCACAACTTAAAAGATGGCTCACCATAAGACCTCAGCAATGTCTTTGGAGTATGAATTGCAAGTTCCCCAGCTGAAGCGGACCAGTGTTGGAAAACCAAACACTACATGTTTGTGATGATCCAGCCAGGTCTTTGTGTCTGGATCTAAAATCAGAATACCCATTAATTAATACTAACTATTACATTTGATTCAAATGTACTCCCTCCGTCCGGAAATATTCTTCCCGTGTTGACTTGGCACGCTTATTAAGGAATAGTTTAAAAAATGCAAAATTTTCAAAAATTCACATACTATAAACTTTTAAATCTCCTTTTATTATTAAAAAAGTACTAAAAAAGTAGATTTGAGATAAAATAGAAGGGTATTTTTGATATTTATCCTTAAAAAGTATACTAAAAAAGGAAATGGGAAGAATATTTCCGGACGGACCAAAAAGGAAAGTGGGAAGAATATTTCCGGACGGAGGGAGTAACTATTAATATAATGTTTGTTCACTCACACTATGACTCACTACTGTCTGTTGGAGAACTTCTAGGAAGCAGTTTCTCTACTTCTTGGGGTAGGGGTAAGGTCTGGGTACATTTTGCCCCTACATAACCTAGTCTCGAGTGGGATTTACTGGGGTTGTTTGGTTTATTTAATTAATATAACGTGTCCTTCCTTTAATACATGTAGCATATACTGTTAATCAAATGAAGCCACAACTCACCTGCAGGGTATCCAGATCCAAAGCTCCTATGCATATTGTCAGCAGTCTCATCAAACACCCAATCTTGAAGAGCTCTGTCCCTTGTAACCTAAAACAGAGAGAGAGAGAGAGAGAGAGAGATGAGTAAAAATGGCATTCGCAACAATTTTTGTGCAAATTTTAACAGAAAATGGAAAAAGAGAAGACATTCAGACCTTTGCAACTATACTTGCTCCACTTACTACAGGGTAAAGACTGTCAGCCTTTTTTGCAACCACAAATTTGATGCTTGGAAATCTTTCAGACAGTTTCAGTCTGTATTTGTCAGCATCACCCACTGTATCCACATACACCTGAAACTTTCTGTACATTAGTTGAGTCCTTCCCCAAGCAGAAGAAATTCCCAAGATCTGGCGATCTTTATATAAAGCCCATATGTGGCACGTTAAATAAGAAAAGGTAAAACAGAGACATAACAGTTAAATGATACCCATTCCATACAGAAAAAAGCTTCCCACTCTCCATTGTGTCAATTGCGGCCACTGTGATGTGTGATGCAGCATGAGATAGTTTCATGTTCAGACATGGAAAAAAAGTGAAACATTTTTTAATTCAAATTTATTTTCTTTGCAATGTGACCGTTATGGTATGCTGTATGATGTGGTATTGCGGGGATAACACCATTCGATAGATGTAAAAAACCGGAGACACATAAGTGAAAGGTTGAATGTGTGAATCCAAAAATAAGAGTGAAGAAGCAGAAACAATGGCCTTTCTGTGTAAAATGAAATGCATCATTCACTCTACTTTAGATAAAAACAAAACTTTTTGAATGTATGCATACCCAGAAACCCTAAGAAACTTTGCACTTTTTAAGTCAATATATATTTACCAACCTCTGTTAACAAAACACCCAAGTCCAACACCCTCCTGACTAGGCCAATAGCAGAATCATGTGATATCTCATTAAGGTTTATTTTATTCCTGTAGTCAGTTAAAAAGGGTAAAGCAAATCAGAAAAACACTTTTGTTTAGGCTATACAAAGTGGCAGAAGGACCTTACTTTTTCAACATTTTGGCAGATAGTTCTCTAGGATCTATAACATCAACAGCCCATCCTATTGAATCATTAGTCTTCAAGTCCTCAAATAACTCTTCCCTCTTCTCTTCTTTTAGAATTTTAGAGTCTATGTCAAAGAAGAAGCAATTGATGCAGATAAAGCAGTTAATATCTCCTTTAGGTTGTGAAAATACAGTCTTATAGTACAGAAGATACATCAAAATCTGCAAAATCTAGAGTTCAACTTGCAAAATTGCATAACCACCCAACAATGGCAAAAGAGTAGTTTTCTAAAATATTAGCTTCCTACACTTCCATGTATATCTTATTGAAAACAAGAATTCTAAACCCCTTAAATGGAAGATTGGGATACATGCTCTAAGGGAACCGTCAAAGTTTACCAAAACTGGCTCTAACATATTCTAGGATCCTCAGTGCCTGAAGGTTCTCTACATTATGATTATTGCCAAGTTACATTCCAAAATATCAGTTGGAACTGTGACGCTAGAGAGCCCAAAAAACTTAGTCAAATGAGGCAAGAAGCTAAGAAAGACCAAAATCATATGATGTGATGTTCAATTTTGGGGTCTCAGGAATCATATCAAACTCAGAAGTAGAGTCTTATAAGGATGAAACATATGCATACCTTACCTATATCCCTAGGAGTACAGATTGATAGTTGGGTTGGAAAAGCCTTAGAATGGATGAATAATGTGTTTTAAAAAATATTTCAACATTAAATTTTATCTGTGCCTAGGGTTGTAAACAAACTGAATCCAAATGCCAAAGGGTTGTAGCGCAGCTTTGTGCTCGTAGATTCAAACCAGTTCATTTGTTCCCAAAGTACTGTCAATTTTGCCTCCAAAGTCAACTGTCGTTGAGAAATCAAAAGATGAAATTATCTCCCAGTGAAAACAATTCTGAATTCTCATATTATGGCAGTCACTCTATATGCCAATGAACAATTCACCAAGCTTACTTTGTTAGTATATATGATGTATGTTGGTTTCGAAGTTATAAGCAATCTTAAGATTGTGTAGATGGGTTTGGAAAATTCTAAAACTTTTTCAATTTGTAAAATGCTTGAGACTTGTAAAAATGAAATTCTAAACAACAAAAGATTCAGTGCAAGTCAATCCTGAGTCCTGACCCTTTCTTTCATCAAAACTTCTAACAGGGCAGTCTGCGTCTTTTTATCAAACACATCGCACCCAACTTAATCTCCTCATGGAGCAACCCTATCATGTACCGAATTCGATATGCTGACCAATATTGAATACTCTGTACTATATATCCATAGATATTGAGCGATTAAAGTGGAAATTTGTAAAAAGGCTCGAGATTTGATGAATAATAACAACGAGATTTGATAAACCTGCAAATTTCAGAGTGGAAAGAGTCTTCTGGTATGATACAGCGCAGTATAAGCATCCATACACCATCGGTCCTGTGAATTGGATGCACAGATCTGAGCCCCAAACAGTAAATGAACAAGAAAAGAAAAAGAAAAAAGGGGGGTAGAAAGAGATGGGAGTTTTGTTACCTAAAACGGGGCCCCGACCAGCTTCGTCAATACCCATCATGCAAGGCTTCATCGACCAATTCGGCAGATCTCCTCCCACAGGCTTCATTTTCGCTTCTGCGACGCTCTCTCTCTCTATCTTCCCATTCGTCCCACTAGATTCTAAACTAAAAAAAGTTCCCGCCAAATGTGCAGATTTGTTTTGTTCCAGCTCTTAAACCCAGTGAAAAAAGTTGGACTGTGGAGTGTGGACATGGGGAGGCTTCGAGCACCGGAGGGTTCTGAAAGCTAAAAGCATAAGCCAGTGGCAAGTCTAAAATAGAATGCCACGGGATGATGTGGCATCTAGCAACCAATCAAAATTCACTGTGGAGTTCCATGGCTTACAATGGCAAGTCATAGGCGTGGGTGGAGAGCAGAGAGAGATGGTCGCAGATGCCTCGCAAAGGAGGCGACAATTGCCTACGATTTTGCCATGCCTCGCAAAGGGAGTGACTCGTCCCTTGGCTCGCGCGGCGTTTCTCCTTCCTCGCTGCTGCGCATCGCAGCTTTCCTCTCAAGGCAGGGCGAGGCGTTTTTCCCACTCGCCGCTGTCAATGCTCTAAAGATATCAAGGCTAGGGGTGGGCACGGGCCGGTCCGAGTCCAAATTTATATAAACCGGACTCAGCTTGTTTTTATTAAAACGGTCCGGGCCGGAACGGGTTTTCAAAATTTTAAAATTGAAATCAGACCTAACCCGGCTTGTTTGAAACGGGCCGATTCCACGGGTCAACGGGTCCGAACCTATCATAATACTAACATTCTTCAAAACAAATAAAAATTATAGAATAATGCCTTCAAAGTTCAAAAAAGAGGAATAAATGAAAAAAACAATGACAAAGAGGGCCATAAGAGTAAAGTGTACACCTCATGATCATCCAACAACAACAACAAAAAGAAGACAACCACATTTTGGCATTATAATATCAATAGGTTTCAAAAAGAGCAAAATTGACAATCTTCATGGCTTCCAAAAAATCCAAAAAACCTGCAAAAAACAAAATTTTAAAATCAACCATATTCCACACACAAAAATATGCAAATGATTAAAAAAGTTCAATATTTAATCTACCTCCTTCACATGCAATTACGTCTTGATTATCTTGTCTTTACTAAAATTAATTGGAATAGGCAGGTATACCGTATATTTACTAAAAAAATAATAAAAATAATATTAGTATTTAAAAAACGGTCCGGTCCGGGTCCCAAACAATTTCAAAATGGGGAACCGGACCAACCCTAAAATGTATAGGAATCAGACCGACCCGGACCGTTTTAAATTTTTGAAAAGACGACCCGGACCTAATTCGGCCCAAACCTGGCGGTTCGGTTCCGACCCGCGATTCCTGGACCCGAATGCCCACCCCTAATCAAGGCTATTCTAGGCCCGTTAATTCTAAGATTGAATGTAGTAAGTACGGGGTGTGTGAGAGTATATTATACGGAGTACGAAGTAGTTCTTAGTGTCTATTGGCCACTGAGCAACTTCTTTAAAGACCAAATTAAGATTGGGAGAAAGATCAAAGTAGGACTAAAACATTGAAAATATACCAAGATAGGACTTCCATGTTTTATTCCCGAAATAGAACTTACATTACCAAACATGGTCATATATACATTACCAAAAAAGTATAATTATTTGCACATGTACACTGCCACATTACAATGCAAAGTCACATTATCACAGTGCAAAATCCTATTCCGGGAAAAAAAACATGAAAGTCCTATTTTGATACTTTTTTCTTTATGTTTTAGTCCTATTTAGGATGATTTCTAATTAAGATTATACTCCCATCACAATTTACCTCTTTAGAATCTTATTGGGTTGGAATGTATGGACACTCGGGTGAGCGTTCCACCTGAAAGCTAAATAAAGGCTTTCTTGTTCTTAATTTTGGGTATTGGAATTGAAATTAGTTGGAACTCATATTGGTTTGATTCTTGTTTTGTTCTTTTTTAATTTGTTTATTTTGTTTAAGGATTAATTCGCAATATTTACTAATAGTATGAAGTCAAGCACATACCATTTTTTGTCAAAAGAAATAAATAGAATTAATCTAGAATTCGATCGAGAAAGAAAATCGATGAAGCATCGAAACTGACCATACCTTGTACCAGTTGTGCAATTCTTCTAAAATAGATATCATTACCGGTCCAGATATCCTAAAATCATTATCTCAATTCGAACAATGTATAAATTATTTTTTAAAAAATTTGTATTTACAAATCAGTATAAAAATACAAAGCATAAATTGTGTATTTAAAAAATATATAAAAAATACTACAAGATAAAAAAGGAGATAAAAATATTTCTTTTATTGAGAGACTAGAACACTAATTGTAAAAAATTAAAAAAGACTCAAAATAGTAGTTAAATAGAAACTTTATCTTACAAATAGAAGTGACATCTTTTTGTCTTAGTATAAGACTTTGAATTGTTACAATGTAATTATATTAACATTCTATAGTATTTTTTGCATTATATGTTGTTATTATTGGTATTGTAAAATCTATTTTGGAGATAAAATTTCAAAATTTCTATTTTAATTATTTACGTATATTTTATTCTTATTTTAGCATTTCTATGAGTGATAATTCTAAAAACTAAGAAATAAATATTCAAAGTATGTAATTTGAATGTGAATTTTTCATTTTGTGATTACTTTTTAGTGAGAATATGATGTGATATGTAAATAATGTGATATATATAGGTTAATGTTCTCTAATTGATAGGAATGAATTAATGTTTCTTAATGGGAGAAGAAAAATTTCTTGATTGTGAAAAGTATGAAAAAAGAAATACTCCCTCCGTCTGGTATTAAAGTTTACGTTTTGATTTTTGGTCATTTTTAAAGGAGGTTGACTAACTCTATGAAATGACCAAAATATCCTTAATGAAAAAAAAAAGAAGGGAGACAAAAAGAAAGGGGCGTGTGGGCTGAAATGTTCAGGGCATTTGAGCAATAGCAAATGCATCAGCTAGATCTAATGTTGTTTAACCTTATCGGATTCTAACAGCACCCGCAGCAGAACACTCTGTCACCACCGCAAGAACAGCCCTCGCCGCTGCAGCCGCTGTCCGATCTCTGCGAGCACTCCCGTCATCCCCAGGCGCCTGCCCACAATCGCCTCCATCCCCTATCACAACCCCCATCCCTACCACCGCTATCAATCCCACCATCTCCGCCAGCCCCCATCACTGCTAGCACCTTAATCGCCGTCATCTCCCATCTTTATGATTGCAGATCTGTTTAGATCTAGAAGAAAGAAGGAGAAGGAGGATGAGAAAGAAAAGAAATTAGATCTACACAAAGAGAAAGGAGATAAAGAAGAAAAGGAAAAATGAGGCGCTGGGAGGAGAGTGGTGGAGAAGAAGAGAAGAGTGGTGGAGAGTGGCGGAGAAGAAGAGAAAAAAGAGGTGCTGGAAGAAAGAATGAGGATAAAAAGAGAAAAGTGGCGAAGAAGAGAAAGAAGAAATAAGGAAAAAAAGAAGAGAAAGAAAGGTAGAGAAGGGTAGTTTTGGAAGAGTGTGGGTTAAAATTAGAAATTTAAACTTTAGTTTCGGATGGAAAAAAAGGAGAAACGTAAACTTTATTTCCGGACGGAGAGAGTAGTAATAAATTTTTGGGTTATGCTTGATTGATTTCAACATTTGAACATCACAGTTTAAGCAAAATCTATGGTAGACATAAAATTCACCATATACCTACATATAAGCAAAATAAGTATTTTTATTGCTTAAATATGCATTTATTTTAAAAAAAATCATGTGATAAAGTCCACAAAATTGATATGCATCTAAGATCCACCAAAAAAGCACTTAACATTTTAATCTCGGTCGTAAAGACATTACAGACACAAAACATTATCGAATGTCTATAATATCTATAAGGTTGAAGTTCAATCTTGGGATTTAAATGTTTGGGTTAAAAAATGGCATTATTCTAATTTTTTAAAAAGGGAGCTGAGTCGAGAATATAAATGACGATAACCCTCTCTCAATGACTTTCATTCAATCATTCACCCCAAAAAGTTCAATAAACCAGAAAAATTAATCAGATCATCTTCTCCCATGGCAGGAGTTCTTGAAGAACTGAAATGGGAAGGGAAATCCACAGCCAAGTGTCAGGGTCCAAAGCCACACCAAGCATGGTCCGTCCTAATCGACGACTTCTGCGACCTTCACAGATGGCTCCCCTCCCTCGATCGGTGCCACCAAGTCGACGGCGTGAAGGGAGAGGTCGGCCTGGTCCGTTACGTCGCCTCCGCCACCGCGGCCGGCTCCGGCGAGGAAAAGAAGGTCAAAAACTGGTGCAACGAGAGGCTGCTCAGCGTTGACCACCGCGAGCGGTGCCTGAGCTTCCAAGTTCTGGACAACAACATGGGGATCAAGGGGTATAAGGCCACGCTGAAGGTTTTCCCGGCAGCGGACGGCGACGGCGACGAGGCCGGTTGCCGGATCGAATGGTCCTACGTGGCTGATCCCATTGATGGGATGACCGGCGAGGAATTCTTTGGTTTCATCGCATCTAATTTACAAGGGATGGTTGGGACTCTGCAAAAAGCTTTTCCTTTGGATCCTTAGCTTCAAGAAAAGTTTAATTGATGTGGGACTGAATAAAACCAAACATGTTTCATTTTTTTCATGGCATATAATTTTATATGATTTGTCATATATGCTTATTAGCAACAAGTACGAACGTGATTGTTAGCAACAAGTGTGATAATGACTATTTAAATTGTCATTTTTAATAATATTTTATTTTACTTTATTTGTGTAACTGGTAATTGTTCTCAAGATAAGATATTTTAGAATTTTTTATTGTCAAACATTAAAATATTAAAAAAAAAGATATATTTAAGTTCCATCTGCTTAAATTTCCCTAGCTTCAATTCCTTTTGTATGAACTATGAACCGTCCAAACTATGCTCGGGCCAAAGATTAATTAGTCAATAAAATGTGTACAATACAGCCTAGACTATCCCATTAAGTCCTTGTGCCTAGAAAAATGCCATGGATATACGGAGTATCAAAAAGGGCATTTCAGATTTACCCCATTATATCTCAATCGTGATTCGTGATTAAAAAAACTATAACACTTTTTGGTTCATGAAATTTGGAAGAAAAAGAAAAGAAAAAAGTTTTCCATTAGTTTCCTCACCAAAATGGGAGAAATTTGGTTTTCCATCCTCTTAATACATTTTGCTTTCTCATTTTCTTTTCTTTTCACTTTTCTTTTCTTTTCCTCTCTAACCAAACAAGAAAAAATGTTTTCCTTCTTATTTTCTTTTCTTTTCCCTCTCAAATTCCTTGAACCAAACATAGTGTAAGTAGATAACATGTACTACATATCCATTTTATTCCTTATTGATTTTGATGAGTGTCAGTTTTACTAATGCTAGGGCTACACCAAAGATGTACTTCATTTGTCCCACACCCCTCTTCCACCATATAAATGGGCAAAAACTTTAAAAAAAATTAAATAAATAAAAATTAAATAAAAATAGATGATGGAAAAGGGGGTGGGGGACAAATGGGTACACTTTTGGTGTACCCATAGCATTGCTCTTTACTCATTTACCCCTCCAAACTATCTTTCGAATTACACGAGGCAAAATGATTTTTTAAAAGTTCATTTATTTTCTTTTCCTATTTTCTCCCTTCATCCCAAATTAAATGTATGTTTGCTATTCGTATGTTCAAAATTCATTTATTTTCTTTTCCTATTTTTGTAAGTAATTTGATAAAATAACATAATCATGTAATCACTAGTTTTGTAGTTCTTTTAATATAGTTTTTAAATATGTAATTTTTATTTTTTATTTCTACATCGTTTTTCATATAAAATAATTTAAAAATAATTTCTCTCAAACATCGCCGTAAACTGAAACAGACGATTTTATTAAATGATTAACAAAAATAAAATAGAAAGTAAATGAAATCTGACTATGTAAAAAGCAAACAAACAATTTAAATGGTAAAAATTAGCAAGAAAAGTCCAGGTCCTACAAATTTTACAAATATTACTGAATGGAAGAACACTACATGAAAATATGTCTTTCGCCACACTTAAAATTAATGTTCTCCACATATATACGGAGTATATGGGAAAGAGTATTCGTTGCACATCTACTAATTATGGCGACAGGCTCTGTGGAGAGAATTTTACAACACTTATATTAAGTGCAGCAAATGAATACATTAACCACATTTATAAGGATTGTTAATATTTTAGTTTGCAACATATATAATTTCTTGTAGTGTATGTAGGGGTGTAAACGGATGTTAATCGGATCGGATGTGCCATTACTAAATCCGTATCCGTTTATTTTTGTCGGATATCGAATTCGGATACGGATCTTGACGGATACTGAAAATCAAAACCGTATCTGCATCCGTCGGATATCGGTCAGATATCGGATGAATCCGTATCCGTTTTCAATTTTTAAAATCAAATAAAAAAATACTTTAATTTTAAATTAGATTAAAGTCAAACTATTATTAAATCAACTATAATTTGTTATGGGATAATTAGTTTCTTTATTTTCATGATTTATAATATTCTACGATAACTTTATATGATAAAAAGATATACACAACACATATACACATATTTTTATATGTCTACACGTATTTTTATGTGTCTACACATTTATTTTGTATATAAAAATATCTTATACTTTGAAATATTAATAGAGAAACAAAATATTAACATAAAAAAATTAAGAAAAACTATATATAACGAATCGGATATTCGGATAAACGGTTATTTAAACGGATGCATATCCAGATCGAATTTTAAACGGTAAAAAATTAAAATGAATATCATTTTTGGATATTTCAATTCTAAGGTGTTTTTTAGGCATTCTAAAAATTGCTTTCTGTATAAGACTCTTTTTTGCATATTTTAGATTTTTCATTTCATTTTTCTATATTTTTATTTTTTATTTTGGAATTTCTTTTTGTACTTTTAAAAAAAATTATTCTAAGAATAAAAAGTGAAAATATTAAATTTGAAATAGATGCAGTGTATGTTAATTTTTTTAATTTTCATTTCAAACAAATGTAAAGTTCTTAGAGGTTTTTAAAACATTAAAAAAATTGAAAAAAGATTTTAAAAAAATTAGAAAAGAGAACAAAGAGATAAATAAAATATAAAAATGGAATATCCAAAATAATAAATGAAAAATAAGAAATGAACACGAGTGCCTTATGATTTGGAAATTAGATGGAATACTCCATCTTCACAGGAAAATGGCTGGAAAATAATCATAGGCGATGTGGGTGCAACATTTTAAAATTACACAAATTTTAGAAATAAAGTTTGAAGGATGTGGGGATATTAATGCTAACTTTTCAAATCATAGCAGTACTGGAGTTATATGATCTTAAAAATTTAATAAAACTAAGAAGAAAAATGCTAAGGATACACCAAATGTGTATTCCATTATCCCACACCCCCTGCATTACCACAAAAATTGGCAAGAAACTAAAAAAATTAAATAAACAAAAATGGAGTAAAAATAAGTACTCCCTCCGTCCCAATGTGTTTGTCCACTTACCTTTTAGCACATCATCCAATGCACTTCTTTAATCCATTTTATCTTGTAATTTGTACATTAAAAAATTATACAAATTATATATTAATAATCTATATGTTAAGACGAATCAAACAAGATCACACATGACTATTTTTAGGCTTACACATTAAAAGAATTTGATGAGTCAAAGTGCTTAGATGAACAGTTCCAAAATTCAAATGTGGACAAAGACAATGGGACGGAGGTAGTAGTAGAGAAAGGGGTGGGGTACTAACATTGCTCAACCAAGAAATACTCCCTCCGTCCCTCATAGATCTTCCCAATAACCCTTTTTCTTTGTCCACAATATATCTTCTCATTTCATCTTTTAACAATCAAAATACCACAACTACCCCCACTTACTTTATTTATTACACCCCACCCACCTCATTTAATACACTCCATCCATTTTCATTAAGGGTAGTATGGTAAACTTTCACCTTTTTTCAACTCTCCTTAAAGTCAAAATGAGAAATCTTAGAGGGACCGAGGGAGTAACAAGTACGGAGTATTTTGGTTAAAAGATCGCGGGAGTCCCACACCGGTGAGCCAGATAACGCGCGTTCACCGAGCTTGTTATATATCAGTAGGTCGCTGCTACGTAAAACGTTTACGCCTCCGCAAGATTTGTGCCCACGATCGGATTGTGGGAATCCTAGATTATTAGGGTAATATGTCCTCCAACTGAATCACGAATTATTGACCTCCGATCTGCCAGCGTTTTGGCAACTCGTTTGGCGCGTTTGTGGAGATGCCAGAACCTTTGCAAGTCGTCTGCCCTGGAGTAAATCTGTACTAATTTGATTTTTGTTCTTCCAATTCAGAAGCTCTGTAGTTATTAATGCTTTAAGAAATCTCAATTCTTTTGTTTCTTTCGCGTTGTGTGATAAGTTGGTGAATTGCACATGCGTTACTTTTGGGTTTCTAATGGTGTTTATGGTGGATTGTGTATGTGTTCATTTGGGCACCCTTGTTTCTCATCTCCTCTCTGTCACTCCATGTTATTTATGGGTCAAGGTTTCGTGTTTTGGGTTCATCAGAATTTTGGTAGTTTTTTAAGAAATCAGAAGATGAAGGTATTGTTTTTATGATTCTTGCGCAAGGTAATCATTCCAATGTTACACATCTCCATGTGGATTATTGATTTCTCCCGGATCAAATTTTACATTTTCCTTAGATCAATTGTTACAATCTCCATATTGTTCATCAGTTACAGTTTCCTCTTTATAAAGTTTAAAGTTAGTAGATTTTTCAAAGATTGGAGTTTATTTTTGTTACTAGTAGTTTGCTAGAGTAGAAAATCCTTGTGGTCCACATACGTTTAGTGTGACTGGTTGAGTTTTGCTAAAAGTCAAATATTGCCTTAGGCTTAGGCGGTTAGGCCCAGCATCAAGTGTCCTTGAAGTCAGTATATGTCCACTTCTTTTTTTTTTAAATCATGAATTGCTGTTTGGGGTGGCTTGTTTTCTATGGAATGTGAGTGTATATAATTTCTTTGCGTGTTTCAGGCCACCTGACCTACTCCCTGATGATACACAAGTAGAGTATGATCGCTGTGGGCGTCCAGCTTTGGAAGTTGACTACGATGATCCTGATGATGAAATTCGTGCTGACATGAGAGATCACAACCGCTATGCTAACCTTGCTTTGGCATACTACAATGACAAACATGTCCGTGAATGTGATCTCACCCCCCTTCACCTCGTACTTTATTTTTTGGTTGTCTTTTTCTAATTTTGTAAATTTTCAATTTCAATGAATTATTTGGGTTCCTAATTCTTCTTTTTCCATATTTTACTGTCGGTTTATTGCCTTGCAGTGCACTGACTATAAGGTTGTTAAGGTTCCTGGAGGCCGGCAGATCTATGAGGTAACGGCGGGTGCTCAAGTCATTGTTCACTGTGGCTTTTCAGCTGCACAATCCACAGCTGCTGAGTGTGATTCATCAGTTAAAAGCTTTTTTGCTGTGTTGGAGCAATCAGAACAAGATAATGATGATGTGCGTGTTATTTCTTGTTGCATTGCGGATGGTAAGGACTTTCATGACATTTCACGTGTCCTGATATATGCCATGCTCTGCATTTCCTAGCACTCCATATCACTCTTTCCATTACCCAAAATTTATATTTAAAAGAATCTTTTCACAGCATATATTCTTTGTGGATTAGAATACGGCATGGCTTTCAAAGATGTAATCAACCTACTTGATTGTATTTGTAGAGTATGATTAAATACCTATAAATTATAAAGTGACATGAAGATGAGAAACCTATGGCAACATCTCTAATATGTGCTAAGAATTTGTAGGATTGAAGAAATTCCTGAAATCTTTTTGAAGGAATTATGATCTCTAGAAATACTAAGAGCACTTAGGAAATTGAGGAAAACAAGTTGTGAAACACACCCTAGTGGTTATGTTACGTTGTCCTTGAAGTTGAGTGAAGATGAAAACTGTGTTTCTATTTCACTTTTACATGTCACTATTTTGTATCCTTTATTTTCATTTCAGGTCTCAAAACTGTAGGCTGTGAGGGCTGTGATATTACCATGTGTGGTCCACGGGATCCATCGTGGCATGAGAAGAAGGTCAAGGATTCGAAACCTAGGTATAGTATTTACTATTCGTCTTTTGTTTGAGGTTCTGACTTTGATATTCACCTATATGTGCAGCAACATTCATTGATTATGTCTGTCTGTTTGTGTGTTTCTTGCACTCTTGTTTATTGAGCTGGAAATGTATTGTTGTATTCATACGTTAATTCTCCAATTGTGCTATTTTCCTTATTGTCTAACTCCGATATTTTAGTTTTGAGCTGCCATGTTATCTATTAGTACTTTTTTAATTATTGAGGCAGTAACCCTAATTGCTGCACATGACCGAAGATTACTTCCACCCATAAAGTTCACATTTGTAGTGAGGATGCAAGTCATTGCATTTGCATTGGCGATCTATGACTTTTTATTTATATTATACCATTAAATAGGTGAAACTAGAATCTAAAATACATGTGTGATCTATGTTACTTGGACTTGCGTCCAAGTGTCCGCTTTAGATGCGTATCGCATCCAACTATCGAAGTGTTTGACACGGTTGTTCTCAAGAGTAACTAGGGTGTAAAGTGTAATAGGCAATTGCGATCGAAGTATTTGGAATAGTTTCTGCATATCATGCATTTGCTCTTTTGCACTCGAGCAATAATAGTATGTGTTTACCATTTATATTTTCAGGGAAGATAAATTTCCTTTATCAAAATATGCCCATTATTTGGCTGATGGGGTGAGCTTGAGTGATAAGGCGAGGTTGAGGCTTCCTTACCCATTATTGGCATTGGATTACTACAACAAAAAGCATGTATGTGTAATCAATCCTTGCCATTGTGATGAATCCTTTATCATTTTCTTGCTAGTTCATTTCTGAAATTGTTTATCTTATTGCAGCGTACACACTACAAGCTTGTGGATGCCTTGCCATTCTACAAATTGATTGGGTTCAATTTTATGATCCATTTGAACTTTATAGCAAGGAAAGAAGGTGATGTGTCAAACACGCTCTTCTTTGCTGAATTAGAGATATGCAAGTGTGGTTGGGTTGTTACTGTTTGTCGCAAATTACACGGTACCAACTTTCCTATGCTTCTTCTCCTAAAGAATGTTGCCCCCACCCCACCACCACCTATGTTGCACGGATTCTTCAAATAGGTTGTACTTCCCGTCCTCGGTTGGGTACTTGGGTGAGTCCCTCGCCCAAATCATTAATAAATTATGAAAAAATTTAGCATTTCACAGTTCCGACCCCGTTTCCGTCTAAGTCCATGTCCCCATTTCAGTGCAACTTAGAGTCCACCACTACCAAAAAACCAGAAAGGAAAAACACCAAATCTATTTTCACACTTCCTGTTGGGACTCATTCACATCTCATCGATTTTGCATTTATTCACTGAGGGTGCTTCTCCCATGGTCAGTTCTCATAGAAAATTGGCCCTTGTAGAGTTTCCATTTTTAAGAAGTTGGATGTTAACCAAGTTACTGGAATCTTCAATGTATGTGAACTTAGCTGTGGCTTACAAATGCATTTCATCACCTTCATTCGAATGAGTACACATGACCTTGATTCAAGTAACTACAGTCGATGCTTGTGCTATGCTTTGTTGTTTTTGTTGATTTGATGTGCTCTTTTTCCTTCTTTTTGTTCTTATTATTATAGGATGTAAAACCACTGCTGGATGCCATATCTGTAAGAATCGTTGGGGGAAGAGAGTTATTCATCCCACTTCTGGATTTCGTTTTGGGCGTTACCCTGATGTAAATCGAAGCCTACGCAAACGCCGCTAGAATTAAGTGGCAAAGAATGTTGAAGTGATTTGCAATTATAGGTAGCGTGATTTTGTCAAGTTAATTAATTAAGTTGGGGTTGGTTGTCCAGTACAATGGCTTTTTGAAATTGGCTTTTGGGCTTACCCTTTTGCGTATGGAACCCGACGCAATGGCTGCTAGAATTATGTGGGTCTTTTTGGCTTGGGAGTGTAAGTGGCGAAGAACGCTGAAGTGATTTGTAATTTATGAAACTGTGGTTGTGCCTAGTTAATTAACTATGTTGTGGCAGTGAATGCTGATACACTAAGGTATTTTGTGAACCCCTATGTTTGGATGTGCGTTGGTTGTCAAGTACAATGGCTTTTGATATTTAAGAACCTATATGCATGTGGTTGATGCTTGCAATGTGTGCTTTGAATTAAAGCCTTGTTTTGTTTCTTGTCTCTATCTCTGAAACATACTTTCCCTTTTTTGAAGAGAACTATTGTTTTCACTAGCCTTTCTCTCATGTATTTTACAGTATGTAGTTACTCTGCCCTTTATCTATTTTACAAGATACAGTTATTGTTTTTTATTTATTTTTTAAATTCATTTTCTTTATTTATTTTCATTTATTAGTCGATAAAAGTAAAATTGTCTTGTCACCATTTTTTATCATTTGAAATAGTTTTTAAACATGTATTTTTATATTTACACTAATATTCATATAAATAGAATTGAAAATAATTTTGGTCAAACATCAAAAAGAATATAATAGGAGTGTATGGGTAGTGGAACACGAACATCTACAAATTGCTCATGTGTAGATCGTCTCACTTCAAATAATGTAAAAAAAAAAATTAAAACAAAGAATATTTTTTTAGGAGAAAGGTAGTATTTCCTCCGTCCCATTTTAAATTGTCTGTTTACCTTTTTTCTCTGTCCTAAAATAAGTTGTCTGTTAGTTGTTTTCATAAATCTTTGAAAATAAAATATTAAACTACCTCTAAAAGAAGTCAATCTTCTTCACATTATCTTCTCATTCATCATCGCCCTCTTAAAAATTAATGTCAATTTTAAAAAATCAACTCTATTTTTTATTTTCCTTAAATATGTCCAAAAGTCAACACAGACGATTTAAATTAGGATGGAGGGAGTATAAGGAGTCAAGAAACTAATTTTGAAGAAGTAAGCGAGGAATTCATCGTATATGTCAATTATTTCTTCTTTTCATTTTTCATGTACCACTAAAAGACTTGAGTTCCAAAATAAATCCAATTGTAGAATGAAAATAACCTTACCAAAAATACTCCCCAATTGAGGAATGAATACAAGGTACGATCCCAAGTCTATGGCGTATCATACTACTCCCTAGTCCCTAAGTGTTTGTCCACTTTCATTTTTTCACACCATCGAATGCACTTCTTTAATCCATTTTATCTTGTAATTTGTATATTAAAAATTTATAAAAATTATATATTAATAATCTATATGTTAAGACGAATCAAACAAGATCACACATGACTATTTTTAGGCTTACACATTGAGAGAATTTGATGAGTCGAAGTGCTTAAATGAACAGTTCCAAAAGTCAAAAGTGGACAAATACTCAGGGACGGACCAAGTATTTCTGTATCTACTGGCATCTTAGACCCATTCGGCTTCTGGTATCCCCAAGTCTATATACATTGTGAGTCAAGTATGCATTCAAGTCTTCTCGTTTACCTTTTTAATTGTCTGAATACAAAATAAATGTACCTTTTCAATTAATACATTCAGATATTCGAGGGGGACCAACCTCTATCTCTTTCGTTAGAAGTTTTTGATTTTATATCTTCTTTATTGACAATTTCAGCAAATTTACATGGATTTATCGACTTAAATACAAGTCTGAGGCCTACTCAGTTTTTGTTAGCTTTAAAAATGAGCAAAACACAATTCAACATACCTCTTGTGCTTGTACTCGAGAGTAGAATGGAGTCTCAGAGCGTAAATGTAGGGAATCAACACTTGGATAGGGGAGCGAAAACAAAAATTTAAAGTCCAAATGTTGATTCCACTCAAGATTCCTTATGAAGATTATACTCCGTAAGTTATTGTGAGAAAATATCTCTTATGAACAAGCAACAGTGTTAAATTATACTCCATACTTATTGAACTCTAACATCTACTGGAGTATTTTATTTATAACTTTTTATATGTAAGTTAAAACTTAATAAAATATATACCGTTAATGAAATCTATCTAACTACCTACTTTTTTATTTTAAAAAAGTTGAGCTTATCAATAGTTTATATTTTGGAGTTAGAAAATAAAATAATTATATTTAATGTTTTTTTAAAATAATGACTAACTACTCAGTCGGTTTTCAGAGTGTTACAATTTTTGTGTGTTAATTTTTAGTTTTCAATGTGACCCCGGGAAAGGGGATATTGCAACCGCACAACCTGATCGAAGAGCTTAACAACGTCGATGAAATTGAGTGGGCGAAGCTCACTGATGCTTCATTCAGTGAAGTTCTGAAAACCGCTCAGGTTTAATTTTGTAGGTCTTGTGATATTTCACCATATTCATGATGAATCTGTTAGGCTTTGGGAGGTAGATGCACCAAAGGGTCTATCGGAAAGTCGGAAACAGGTTGTGTATATCTTGACTCCCAAATTAAAGTACAATATCGTTGGGGTTTTGTACACACATGGATAAAAATTTATACTCCCTCCGTTCCTTAAAACCCTTCCGCCCTAAATTTTTGCACACCTCATTAAACGCTTTTACTTCCACCAAAAATATCTGAAATATACCCCACTATGTAGTTTATTGCGGGTAGAAGTTGTTTTAGGGGTATTTTAGACATTTTAGGTGGGATAGAAGTATTTTATGGGCTGTGCAAAAAATTAAAACGGAAGTGTTTTGTGGAACGGAGGGAGTATTTAGAGTGGACATTAGGCCATTATTTATATACATTTACAAAAATCATCTTTTGAATCACTAATTTAAAAATAACTGATGCAAATGTTTTTTTTAAAAAAAATATTTTGTATCGGGTATTTAAAAATAGCCGATGTAAAAAATTTTTTATTGTTCCCTCTGTCCTACAATGTTCTTCCCATTTCTGTTTATGAGGGTTGATTGACTTTATTTTCAATCCAAATTATTTGATTGTAGGTGTAAAATTAAAAATAAAATTTATATATTTAAAAACTACATCAAGATTTCTACTAAACAAGAGGTGACAAGACCATACTATTCTATCAAAAAACTAAAGAAATAGGTAACAAAAGTGAGTAAAATTTGACCGTGTGAATAATAACTGAGAAGAACATTTTAGGACGGAAGAAGTATAAAAAAGTGTTTTTGCATCGGTTATTTTTAAATAACCACCGATGCAAGAATATTTAAAAAAGAGAGTCTTTAATTTGCATCAGTTTTTTCTAAATGACCGATGTTAAAGCTCCATTAAAAAAGAGCTTTTGCACCAGTAAATTATAAATAACCGTTGCAAAAGCCTTTTTTAAACAAGAGATTTAGCATCAATTTTTTTTAAAACTGATGCAATTGCCCTGGAAGAATTGCATCACTTGCATTTATATCGATAAAAAAGGACGCAAAAAAAGATGCAACTGCATTGCTTGTAACTATTATCAAATTGTATCAGTTCTTAATCTAATAACGCACAAAGAGCTAATGTCTCTGCCTCTATTTGGAACTCAAAATTGGGTGAACATCTCTATGAATTCTAGAGAATGTACTTCCTACCTGGGGAGAAGTTATTATTTTGTAACAACTAATTAAAATAACACATAGTGCAATTTTAACAAATTCTAAAGGGTGCGTGAATCTAACGCTATGTTTGGTTCAAAAAAAATGGTGAGAAAAGGAAAGAAAATAATTTGCATTCATTTCCCCCACACAAATGGGAGGAATTTGATTTTCCTCCCTTTTAGTACATTATGTTTTCTTAACTTTTTTATTCACTTTTCTTTTCTTTTTTTTCTCTAAACAAACAAAAAAATGTTTTCCTTCTCGTTTTCTTTTCATTTCCTTGTCAAATTCAATTCCTTGAATGAATCATAGTGTAAAGGTGTTGCATTTCCAACTTGCTTGTGCATGTTTACACATTTACATGATTGAATTTGAATTTACCCAAATTTTTGTAACCGAAGTCATACCATTCGAAAGAAAAACACAAAATATAATAATCATTTTAGATTATAATAAAATACGCAATTCATTCAAGCACAACACATGAATCTAAGATATATAGATTTAGTGATTGAGAAGAGCATTGTTTAAGTACAAAAACCGATCGGGGCATTCCTCCTTGTACAATCACAATACAAAAGATTGCCCATAATTTCAAAAAAAAGAAAGAAGAAATTGCATCGAACTCTCTCATCAGCTCCTTCCATGTCAACACCTGCACAATACAATACAATACATAAAAGTCAACCACCCAACAGTCATATTACAATACGGAGTATATGTATATGTGACCTAATTCTATGAGATATTGCAATTGGGAAAGAGAACACCTACCTGCCAGGGCAACGAACTATGCACGGCCACGGAGCTCGTTGGGAATGGACACCTTCACTTGATATATCTTTAAGAATATACCCAGTGGCGCCATGTTCCTTCCCGTACCAAAAAACCCCTCATAGTTTGGGCCCGCCGCCATATCTTGGTAGATTACGTAAGTCCCAGGCTCGCATCCATACCTAGCCGCTTGATGTGGGTCGAGGGCTCTCAGTCCTAAGATGACAACCGAATGGGTCGATGTCTCCAACTCCCCCGTTCCCTTGTAAACGGTTTGGTCACGGAGGCTCTCGGTATAATCCGATTTGATCGCCATCGTACCGAGCACTGTTCCATCCTCCAACCACTTGCTCAAGTGGTACACCTTCTCCCAGTGTGGTGTTATGTCTTCTAAATCATCATCTTTGGGCTGAGCAAGTGGAATTGATTTGAAATTGGGGATCCGATAGGTGCGGTTGTTCCACAGTGGAACACCGGTGAAACGTGCGAACGAGAGGAGAGAAGAAAGACGCTTGTTTTGGGGCTGGGTGCTTTGGAACTGCTCTCTCAATTTGGTGTGGTCCACCAAGTCGGTTTCGGCCAGAAGAATGGGATGATAATAAGCATCACCGTAATGAATCCGTAGCTCGTAATCGAGATGTCTCGATAGCGCCGCATACATGCCTCATCCATCTGTACATATGGAGTATATTTTATCATATATCCAGTATATATTTGAAAATGAATAGTTACTAATAATAATCAATCTCAAAGAAATACACTTACCCCTCTCTTGCCGTAGACTCTGTCGCACAAGAGTGTAACTGCCATTAGGCCCAAATGTCTCCCAGTTGGACATCCTAGCTAGCTAGCTAATTAGACAAATAAAGACAATAATTAATATAATCAATAAACTTCCAGTTGTTTGTGCGGTATTATACGGAGTATATAAATAGCAAGCACAACCAAAATACACTACTAATTTAATGATCTGATCTGAGCTCCAAACCTAGCTAGTACTCCATATATATCCAAAAAATCAGTGACACTAAATAATGGGTTTAAATATAAGTGGTGTTGCACGCCTTGCCGGCCGCACTCGAAAATAGGGTGGCCGGCTGGTGGCCATTTCCGGCAAACAAGAGGCCGGTATGGAGTTTTCAGTTGGTGTGCTAGGTCACTAATTAAGGTGCAGTGCAGTGACACCAATTCAATAAACAAAAGTGGAGGTACATATGCAACTAAACAACTAACCTTAACAATAACTACAAATCAAAAACACAAAACAAGCTAATAAGTTAAGCCAATTCAAATATATTCCTAACATACCTCTTAATACGGTTGCCTCTTAATATAGATCTCTCACTCTCTCTCTCTGCTAGGCTGTATGGATCTTAATGGGAGGCTAAGAGAAAAGGGCAATGTACTATATATAGAGGTTGAGGCTAAAGCTAGTAAATGTTTAATTTGATACCCTAGCTAAATGGGTTTTGTGTAATCAAGTGTTTTAGTTTCATCATTTTAAATCAAATGTCCCCTTTTCCCATTTCCCAATGCTCTCACTCCTAGTCTTTCCTTCATCTCACAAAATCTTTCTCATTTTGATTTTTAAAATATTTAAAGAGTATATTTTAGTGTTCATTTTTAAAAAAAATATCCTTGGATGTAATGGGTAAAAATAGACATGATGTGTAGATTAACAGTGAAAAATGTGATGTAATAGGTATCTTAAGATTTAGTAGGGACAAAAGTATTTTTTTAATAGAAATGAATTTTTTTTAAACAGATGAAAAAAGAAAGAAGAGAAATTTAGTAGAATGAAGGAAACATTAATTAGGCACAAGGGCAGGCAAGGGGATTTCTTTTTTCTTGCTTGAGAGTGCATGATGGATGGTAAATTGGTAGCCTAAGCCCTAAAGTAATTAAGTTGTTTCCAGCAGGAGAAAAAGCCTAAGTAGTCCTCTTTCATTATCAAGTCTTTGAGAGTAGTGCACACATACATCAGAGTAGAAGAAAGCCAGCATTTGATTGCAAAAAACCCATCATGAGACCTAGTACTACATACATAGGACGATCAGTATTACATGAGTGATTTAACACAACTGGGCAGCGTATAACTTTGCAGCGATTCTGTGTGGAGATGAACTTACATGCAGAGGGGAAAATAAAGTTTATTGCGTCACCATGTATACTATGTTGGTGTTTGCCTGTGCTTGTGATGGTTGACCTATCATTAATAAACACTTAAACTTATAAGTTATTTATAAGTTAAAAATTTTCTTGTGAAAGTAAAATAACTTAAATGATAGATATATCATATGTAGATATTCATAAATGGTGAAGGACAGTTTTATAAATAATTTGGTCAAAATGGAGAAACGAAAAAATTGGTTTAAAAATAAATAGCAAATACTTATTTTTTCTGGCTTATACTCAAACTTATAGTTTAGCTTATAAGCACACATAAGGATATCATCAGCTGACTTATAAATTAAAAAATGCTTATAAGCAGTTTTGACCAGTTTTGCACTGAGATACACTCACTATATCCCTTCTCAAAATCATGTTCTTAGGGAGTTTTCAAATTAGATGGTTGACCAATTTTATTTTTAAATTTAATTTATTTAAAAAAGAATATTTCAAAATAAATACTCCGTATTATATAATTAAAAACTACATAAAGTACTTTTTAGTACAAGAGTTGATATGATTATATTTCCTTCATCGCGTAAAATTTTTTAACTTTCGCATCTTACATGTCTTATAAAACATTTCAATTTGATCTAAATGGACATATATAACTAAATTTACTTTTTTTCAAATCTAACTGAATACTTTCTAAGTCTTACCCATTTTGACGTTTTTTGAGTCATACTCATTTCAATTATCATTGTTTTATTTTGATCAAATTTCTACATACATGTTCCCCTCTTAAAAGAAAAAATAGAAAAAGTTTTGCCATACAAAGGAAGTGCTTTTTTACTCCCTAAAAGAGGGAGTTTTGCCATGGAAATATTTTGTGTCCCATAAAATCCTTCACATTCCCCTAAAAGAGAATTCTACCATTTACCCTAAATTCTACCCAACCCACACCGAAACTCCCCCTACTTTTCCCAACCTCTACTTTTTATTTTGGACATGAGGTATTATATATGGAACCCTATCCTTAATTTCCTTTAATTTCAAAATAAGGAGTTTGTGAGACTAACACTATGTTTGGTTCAAGGAATTTGATAGGGAAAAGAAAATAAAATTAAGTGGGAAATAAGTTTTCTTGTTTGGTTAGAGAGGAAAAGAAAGGAAAAGTTGAAGGATAAGAAAATGAGAAGGCAAAATGTATTAAGAGGAGGAAAACCAAAATTTCTCCCATTTTGGTGAGGGAAATGAGAGAAAATCATTTTATTTTCTTTTCTTTCCAAATTCCTTGAACCAAACATAGTGTAAAAGAGTAAAAAGTAATTAACAAAATGAAGTGATGAAAGAAAATTTTTTTTGACCTCCCAATATAGATAGAGTAATAAAGAAGATAATTATTTTTTTCTAATAAATAATTTACAAAATTAAGTGATAAACAAAAAAAGTGTTTGACCTCCAAATATAGAGTAGTAAAGAGGATTATTCTCCTTCGGTACCTAAAGTCATTCTCATTTCTTTTTCTCTTTGTCTCAAATTCTCATTACTTTTATCCATATATATTTATTACTTCTTACCTTACTTTATCTTTCTACTAATAATTTATCCATTACATTCTTCTCTTACCCATCACATCAAAGATAATTTGGAAAAAATAACACAAAAAATCATTTTCTTAAATTACATAAAAGTCAAAAAGAGAATGGTTTTTAAGCACAAAGAGGGTATATAATTTAGGACAAAGAGAGTATGTATGTACTTCGTATTATTATTATTAAAAATTAAGTATACTCCCATCCACAAAAACTCTACACATTTCTTTACTTTTCTTAAACTTTGAGGCGAGTCAAACTCAAAACTTTAGTTTTTTCTGGGACAAAAGAAGTACATAATAACTGCATCCTAAAATATATCTAATTGTATCAAATTTATACAATACTCCATATTATATTTAAGAGTGATGCTTTCATGATCTTTAGGTCGACTTGTAAAATGTGAAGCTTCTCACACTTTTAGTGGGCCGACATGCGGACATTTCATTTTTTTAAAAGCCCAATTTATCTATGGTGTTTATATATTAAGGTCCATGAAATTAGTGTGTACCTTATTAGGACCATGGAAAATTTGTCTATATTTGAATTTACTTTTTTTTGCAGTTTGTGTCACGTATTTACAATTTAATTAAAAAGTTTTTTTTGTTTAGAATTGAGTATTTAATACCGAGTAGTCCGCAATTAATTTATAAGGAAAAGAAAAAACGCAAAATAGTACGGAGTACAACTTGATCAGATAGGGGGCTAGGGGGCAGGGGCCTTCCTTATATCCATCAGATATCTATGCTGATACAATTAATAATTATTGATCCTCCTCCCTTGGTTGATAAATTTAATCATGAGCTGAAACAATCACGAGTAAACCATAGGAAGGGTGACATTTTTATTTCAAAATAAAATTTTGTATAGTAAAAATGTAGTACTATATGTTGTTATTTATCAATATTTTTTGGTATTGTAATTAAGTTAGCATTATTAGTATTATTAATTTTACTTTTGAGATAAAAACATGAAGATCATATTTTACTTTTTTTTCTCATTTCATCCGTTCCAAAAAAAATCAACTTTCATGTTGACAGTGTAAGGGTAAATTTGGAAAGTAATATTAATACTCCCTCCGTCCACAAATAAACTTTACGTTCACTATTCACAGGGTCAAACTTTATTCACTTTGTTGGCCTATTTTCGTCACTCATTTGATAAAATAATATAGTCATGTCACCTCTAATTTTGTAGATCTTTTGATATAGTTTTTTAATATGTAATTTTTATTTTTAAATTTTACACCATTTTTCATATAAAATGATTTGAAAAATAACTTCAGTCAAACATCGTAACGCGTAATGTAAAGTTTATTTATGGACGGAGGGAGTATTACACATTCCTTAAATTTCACCTTTTCGTATATAGAAAATATTTTATGAGATAGAGGTACGTACTACGTAGTATGTTTTATTTCTATTTTAGTCGTTCTTCCTTTGATATACATCGTCTCACTTCGAACAACATGCAAAATTTCATCTTTCAAAAAAAATTATTTACAAATTGGCATAGAAATTAAAAATATAAAGTATATACCTCCTCCGTCCCAAATTAAATTGTTTGTTTATTATTTACAAGATCAAACATTATTTATTTTCTTTTTTTGTTTTCGTTAGTCATTTGATAAATTAATATATCATGTCACCCTGGTTTTATAGATCTTTTGATGTCATTTTTTATTTGTAGTTTTTATTTTTCAATTCTATACCATTTTTCATATAAAATGATTTCAAAAAAACTTCAGTCAAACATTGTAAATTGATACAAACAATATAAAATGGGACAAAGGGAACATTTCAAAACTACAAATTCTTTTTTATTGAAAAGGCAAATTATTATATGTGCCTAAAATACATGGTAAACCTTCATATAAGCTTAATAAACATTTTCAAGTTTTGAAATGAAGTGTGTGTACTAGCATTGATACACGCGCATTGAGGCTCTATTTAGTTTTAGGACCATGCTACACTTACACCAAGAATCGTGCCACATTTGTACACCGCAATTATACACAAATATTTTGATGGTTCATACCGACACAAGTGTTGGTGCGTTAACAAAAATTTACACGGACACAAAGTGTTGATGCGTTAACAAAAATTAGTTTTACACCAACACAAAATGTTAGCGCAAACCTGTGGTATACAAATGAGATATAGAAGCTTGGGGTACAAATAGCTTTATCCTTAGTTTTAACATCATGTGTTTTGTACGGAGTATTAAGGTTTTTGTAATTATTACTAAAGTTGTGGTATCAATGGGAGTACAATAATAATTAAATCGAGTTTTAGTAATTATGAATTTTTATAGCTTTTTTTTGTGAAACAAAATATTACTAGTACTCACTCCGTCCCAAAAAGATCGTTACGTTTCATTTCTTTGCGCATCACAAAAAACAATGCTACTCACATCTAAAAATTCTAAAATTTACCATATTTACTCTTTATTATAAGATGAAAGAGTAAATTCCCAAAATAGTCCTTTGTAATAGGGTGTTTTCTCAAATTAGTCCTCAATAAATTTTAATTACCTACGTGGTCCTCTATAATTGAGATTTATTCCCAAAATAGTCCTTTGTAGTAAGGTGTTTTCCTAAATCAATCCTCAATAAGTTTTAATTACATATGTGGTCCTCTATAATTTAGATTTATTCCAAGATGGTCCTTCGTAAATAATGTTACTCAAATGAGGATTAATTGAGTGTATTTTTTCTCTGCTAAATTTAGAATCAATTCTTAAAATAATCATTTATAATGAAGTGCTTTCCCAAAATGGTTTTTCTAATTAAAGATGTGTATTTGATTAGAAATTTAAAAGATTTTTTTAAAGTTTTATAAATGTATTTGGTTTATCTCTATGTAATAAGGTGTTTTCCCAAATCAGTCCTCAAATGAGGATTCATTGGAAATATTTTGGTATTTTGATCATCCAAATTTAAAGTATATTCTCGAAACAATCATTTCTGTACAACTAAATGTAAAACTTAAAAAATACATTGACTATAAATAATTTATGAATTACTTAAAACTTAAAAAAATCTTTTAAATTTCAAATCAAATACACATCTTTAATTAGAAAAACCATTTTGGGAAAGCACTTCATTATAAATGATTATTTTAAGAATTAATTCTAAATTTAGCGAAAAAAAATACCCTCAATTAATCCTCATTTGAGTAATACTCCGTATTATTTATGAAAGACCATCTTGGGAATAAATTTCAATTACAAAGGACCACGTAGATAATTAAAACTTATTGAGGACTGGTTTGGAAAAATACCTTATTACAAAAGGACTATTTCGGGAATAAATCTTAATTATAGAGGACCACGTAGGTAATTAAAACTTATTGAGGACTAATTTGGGAAAACCCCTTATTACAAAGGACTATTTTGGGAATTTACTCAAGATGAAATTGTTTTGAAAGTTTTTTTGGCATTTGAGACGATATAAAAGTATTTTAAGGGATGCGCAAAAAATGAAACGTAACGATCTTTTTGGGACGGAGGGAGTATGTATTAAAGTAAATCCTCCTTCCGTCCCAAATTTGATTACAAATTGGAGTTACGAGAAAAAACATCTCACTTTCTGAAATCATTTTATTTACAAACCAGTATATCAATAAGAAATAAAAATTACTCCCTCCGTCCCATTTATAATGCCTGTTTCAGTTTACGATGTTTGACTGAAGTTATTTTCAAATCATTTTATATGACAAATGGTATAGAGTTAAAAAAATAAAAATTACATATCAAAATACTACACCAAAAGATCTACAAAACTAGTAGTAACAACAATAATGCTGTTTTTTTCAGTTCTCATGAGTCATGAGAACACAAATGCTGTGTTAATTTGAAAGGTAGGGTTTGGTTCTATGAGTAGTCCTCTGTGATCTCTAAGTAATGCTCCCCTTGTTGCATTTACTATGCCAAAAGTTGTGCCAACATTCAGCTTGACCATCACTCATCTAGAGCTATCCATTCTCGAATCGTTGATTGTAGGTTGAAGTGTTGAACTTAATCTTTGGTGTAAGACGTACAAAATTAAATAATCATTGTTTGTAGTCCACTTGGTAGTTTTTTGTGAGCTACTCCAATGATATATGGTATTAATAGTTCTGATCATTCTATTGGTATTGAATTTCACCTTCTCCAAAATTGTATCGCTTTAAGCCTTCCAAATCTACCAGGTGATAACCGACAGGAAAGTAAAATTGTCATTTTTAAAACTTTCTTGAAAAGTGGTTACAATCTACAAATACACACTTCTCAATATTGGGTCATGTTACATACGAGATATGAACTCCAAGAGACTCATTGTAGAGCCTAGCACGCTACAAGTTGTCTTCATCCAAAAGGAAGCTATACGAAGGGATCTATTATTGGGTCATGGTTTTTAAGGTGTTGCACTTGCATGCTTCACATTTGTTAGTTCAAAATGTGTATCGAAAAAGGAATTGAAAGCATTGACTAGGATGGGGGGACAAAAAAAACACTCCCTCCTAAAAATCCTTTCATGTTTTGACTTTTTTGATCAATCAGTAACACTTTTTTACTTCAACTTAAACATCATTTGAATAAATGTTACGGAGTATAAGAATTTGATATATTGAAATAATATTTTAAGATTAACTTAGTTATATTAAATTTACAGTAAAATTAAATATACCTTTTTCATAATTTATGTCAAAAATCGTCCAAAAAAGCCAATACAGGAAAGATCTTCTTGGGTGAAGAACTCTCGAGAGATACTTTGAAACGAACAAAGTGGATGTCAACTTCAACGTGCTTGGTGCTAAACCAAAATAAACGAGAGGTAGACGGCACTAACATTGTGGCAGAAAACTAAAGTAGCACGACGAAGGGCTGTTGAAGCTCAAGGAGAAGATTTCTGATCCAACTGGTTTCTACAATAGTATTAGCCACAATAGGGTATTCTGCCTCTGCATCGGAAAGTGGTAGCCTGATGCTTGAAGGACAAAGATACAAGATTATCTCTATGAAAAACACAATAACCAGAAGTGGATCGCCGAGTATCAGGGCATACAATCCAATCTGCATCAGAGTAGGCTTGCAAATAATATGTAGCCGAGCGGGATAGGCGGATCCCGTGGGTGGTGGTCCCGCTGAGGTACCGCAGCACATGTTTCATGGTCATGAGGTGGACATCACGTAGTGCATGGAGGTGGAGATAGAGATGTTGAATGACATAAGTAATGTTAGGGCAAGTGAAAGGGAGATATTGCAGATCACCAACAATAGACCGGTAAAGGGAGGGATCATAGATCGGCATCCTTGGAGAAGAGAAGAGCTTAGCTTTTGTGTCCACACTGTTGGAGATAGGGCGGCAAGAGACCATACCAGCATGGTCAAGAATGTCATGAGTGAATTGAGTCTGATTGAGGAATAGCCCATCAGCGGTCCGGTGCACATTAATGCCAAGAAAGTAGGAACGGTCAAGAAACGTGAGTTTTAGCAACCCCTGGGCTTAGGGTTTGGTCCTGCAAAACTGCATAGATAGTAGGAATGAAGTTTTTTTAACCTACAAAGTAGAAACTAAAATTTGCTAGAGATTAGAAGCACCAGATAAATAAGTGGAAGACTTAATAGCCTTTACTTCATCAGGTTTAACCTCCAGTAGAGGGAAAAAACTTGTTTGCAATAGCAATATTCAAAGATTGAGTTGCAACTCTATTTTGTTCTTCGCGGCGGGATCTTGTTGAGGATCATCAAGCAGTACCAATCTTGCATGAAAGCAGCCATCAATTCTTTCCTGCATTGTCAAGTTTTAGATTATCATGTCCGGTGGGACGTTTATATATATGAAGAGGTAAAGAAACAATACAGTACTTAAATGTAAGAGCTTCTATATTTAAATACCAAATCACATTTGCAAGTGCTTTGTGAATAAACTACAAAGTTAAGTCCAATCCTCTTTCACTGATCTTGACATTTTAAGAGTGGAAATAATTTGGGACTAATAATAGTACAGGAATATTCAGTTTATTAAGGCAAGAATAATACCTGTTACAATGCATAAATGAAAGTGCATACAGATGTCCAGATTAAAATATGCTTTTCCCCAAGAAATGTGTTGCATCACTGGCATGTGAGTATGTGAACCAGGTGATCTCTTTGTGTGGAATCAAATATAAGATGAAAAACACTGAGAGGACGTCTTATGAATAGTTTGGAGTACTTGAAAGAAAGAAGACTTATTTTTTGCATTTGATTTCTCTTAGTTTGCTTTCTTCCTTGGGCTTGGACAAACTCTTGACGTCTATGTTCTTTTGGGACAAAAATGATACAACGCCAGTTGCATTTTCTACAGTTGTTTTGTCCCTGGTGTATTCACCATGATTAAAATTTAAAACCCTGCGCTTTCCGAGTGTGGTTGGGCTCCAATCATGCCCCACCCATAAAGAACCTATTAAGTCATTAATTATACAAAAAACAACCACATGAAAAAAATTACTACATGAAATATCACCATTATAAAATATAGAAAAGCATTTAGTGAGTTATAATAGTAAAGAAATATCTAGCTGATAAAGGAAGAATAATTACTCTTACAGTGCACACATTAAAGCCTAGATATTTAAACTTCTTCAAGAAATATGCTGAATTTATCAAATGAGAATTAAATCAAATGTAATTTATTTGGATAGAATTAAAGCTAAGACCAACAAAGATTGAGGGGAGGGCTTGTCATTTAGGTCATGTATTTTAATGTAAGCTCTTGATATATTTCTTCTAGGAAGACCAAGTTCATAGATGATTGCAGAGTAGTATGGAAATCATTACCTATAGAGTGCAAATAAATTAAATCATCTCGTGATTCATAATTCAAAGTTTCAAACACAACCTTCTTTGGAAGTTCCCACCCCATTTCATGCTTCTTCAAATATGTACAAACCCCATATAGACGTCCTTGACAATCTCATTCTAAGCTTAAATGCTACTGACAGTACTATAAAATTCTTAACTTTTATAAAGGGTAAAAGAAAAAATTGCACGTGAAAGAAATTGCTCCAATTTTCTTAACAATCCTTACTTACCTCATCAGCAGTAACTTTGTTATGGAGGGATTGTTGCAAGTATCCAAGCAGTGTAGAGGTAATAGGAACTATTGCCTTTGTTTTTCTTTTCAGAGATCAAAGTGCAGCTAGTGTTGAATACCTCAAGAAATTACAGACAATCAGTAGTTTACATCTAATGTAGAGAATTGATATACCTACGCAAAAGATTCAAACAAAGGCAAAAACAAGTGAAATCAGAAAAATCAACTCCCTCCTCTGAACATCCATGAACATTCATCATCTCAAGCAATCAACTTTTAGACCACGTGGGGTTCTATAACACTATTAAAACAGATTTCACCAAATAACACATAATTGATCAAAATTCACAAACTCCCTAACTACTATTCACTTTCAATTCACAGATTCAATTTTAAAAACAGATTAAAAACCACAGGATAAGTAACTACAAAAATTGAAAAAATCATTAGAACACACTATCCAATTAATCAAAAAAAAAAAACTAATAGTGCTCACAATTTTAAAATACACCCGGAATATTGGAATCCAAGAAATATAATAAAGAGAAGAGACTAAGGATTTAGAGACACCTTATCAGTGGCGGCGACACTGCTACGGCAGCTGGAATGGGAAGGCGAGTTATCCACGATGAATTTCTTCAATTTTGGGCAGTAGCAACCCTTCTCACCATGATAGAATTTAGGATCGGCAATGTGCTATGTGTGTATATATGTTTGCTTCATCAATGATTTCAGTATGTTTGATCAATACTTCCATAAACATACACTCAGTTCGATCATAACAACTATATCGTTTGGATAGGTGTTCATAGCCCAGGAAGGCACGCCGTTTGGAACGAGGTTGTAACTTATGATCAATGAAGATGAGGGTATACGAGACACCCAAAAATCCAAAGATGAGAGTAATCCGGAGTATGATAGAAAACTTCATCATGAGGGGATTTATTGTTAAGAGACCGTTTGGGCATATGGTTGATTAGGTAATTTGCAGTAGCTAAAGCTTCAACCCAAAAAGTGATAGGTAGAGAAGAAGTGTAGAGTAGGGTCACAAGAATCTCAATGAGATGGTGATGCTTGCGCTCAGCTACCACATTTTGTTCAGGTGTATAAGGGCAGGATTTATGATGTAAAACTTCAAATTGTTGAAAAAAAATACCCAAATTTGTGATTGGCATATTCACGACTGTTATCAGTTCAAAAAATGTTAATAGAGAGCCCAAATTGATTTTTAACCATGGAATCAAAACTTTGAAAAGAACCAAAGGCCTCAGATTTATGCTTAAGAGAATAGAGCCAACTAAACTTAGTAAAATCATCCACAAAGTTAAGTCAAAAGTAGTGGGGCATAGATGAACAAGATTCTGAACAGCTTAAGAGAGGAGAGCCAGAAGAGAGGTACGTAACTGAGCGTCAATGATTGTCCATTGATCATAGGCCGGATTCAATTTCCGAATTGGATCTTTGTTTGAGACTGTCGTGGTTTTTTCGTTTGGTATGGTCGGTGATGGCACCGTTTCTGTACCATTTTGACAGTGGAAGATCACGAGGGATAGTTATTGTCGTCCTTCACCAGAACGAGAGAATGAAGATTTCGGAGGAACAAACTTAGGCCACCGGGGAGACTATCGAACGGGTCTTGGTCGTTTGCCATGTTGCCGAGAACGTTGAAAAAAAACGATCGAAAGAGAATAGATCGCGGAGAAAGTGCAATCCCGAGATGAGGCGACTAGGGTGTAGGAAAGAAGAAGACCTATAGCTCCCATAGCATATTGGACAGGATAAAGCTCCTTCTACCCCAACTTTTTGTATCCCACTTTGTACCATGTAGGTTTGCACCAACATTTTGTGTTGGTGTAAAACTAATTTTTATTAATGTATCAACACTTTGTGTCCGTGTAAACTTTTGTTAACACACCAACATTTGTGTCGGTGTAAACCATCAAAATGTTTGTGTATAACTGCGGTATACGAATAGGTAGAATTTTTTGTGTAAGTGTAACATGGTATTATTGGATAATAAAATAACTATATTTCACACAAATAAATGTGAATACAAGGGAATATATATTAGAAATCATCTTAAATAGGACTAAAACATAGAGAAAAAGTACCAAAATAGGACTTTCTTGTTTTTTTCCCTAAAATAGGACTTTGCACTGTGGTAATGTGACTTTGCATTGTGGTAATGTGGCAGTGTACATGTGCAAATTACTATACTTTCTTAGTAATGTATATGACCATGTTTGGTAATGTAAATTCTATTTCGGGAATAAAAACATGGAAGTCCTATTTTGGTATATTTTCAATGTTTTAGTCCTACTTTAGTCTTTCTCCATATATATATATATATATATATATATATATATATATATATATATATATATATATATATATATATATATATATAGGGTGATACCCTGACACTATTAAGATTCATCCCAACATAGAAAATGAGTAATACTACTTCCGTCACAGTGTATTTGGCTAGTTTTACTTTTTCGAGTTAAATTGGACAAATTTTAAACTCTAATTGCTCTCAATTTATATTGCATATTAGCATAATGAAATATAATTTTGAAAATTTTCAATACGATAAATCGAATAAAGTCATTTTTATGTTAAAATATATTACAATTTTTATTTCACTGAAGCTCAAAGTTTATTCAGTTTGACTTGAAAAAGTCAAACTGGACAAATACATTGGAACGAAGAGTATATAAAGACTATCATAAAACGTTGAGCTCTTAGTTTGAATGGTAAACCTTTGATTTGAATTTGAAAATTAGTCTTGCACCTAAACAATAGCAAAAACAACGAACTACCCCGGGTACTAAATTTAGCACGACACTAAAAATTTAGTCATTGAGCAAAGAGGATTTGAATGGTAAACCTTTGATTTAATTTGAAAAAAATAATATAATCTTACACTTTTTATTTTGTAGTTTTTAATATATAAATTTTATTTTTTAATTCCTTTCCAATTTCAAATAAATCAAATTGAATAATAACTTCAATCAGGACTCGTAAACAACAACCGGCGACCCTTGAATATTTGTTAAGACAAATTAATATTTATTGTTGTACAAATAAAATTATAACAAAGTATTCATTCATTACCCATACTTCGAGAGTGTTTGAGATAAAATATAAAGGATTACAAATTTTTTTATAAGCAAAGAATTGTGTGAGCCGAATGTAAATGGCAAGCTAACAACTTTGTAAGAACATCACATAGCTGTACATCAATATAGTTGAGGCCAAATGCTTAAATTTTCACCTTGATCTAAATATCTAATGATCTCACCTTCCTTTGGTTCTCTTACTTCAACATCCTTCCACTTGAGGACGTACCTATAACAAAATGAGCCCATCATTTAGCAATTGAATCTATATTGTCATTGCTCTATGATTTAAGTTTAACATAAACCAAACGGTGAGTAATGAGTTCTTTCAAAAATATTCCAAACAATATACCGAAGACCAAAAAAGTCAAAGCGAGCAACTTACCTTGCGAGTTAATAGATTGTTCTCAAATCTCAACAATGTCTTGGAAGCACTGATTTTACAACTCTGGGTTAAAAAATACAAAAACAAAAGTTAAAATTTGCTTGAGACAATGAAATTGACTTATGCTTATGCCTAATATCTTATACTCCATATAACATAATTTACTTTTACTATCAATTTTTGAAATGCAAAATTTGATTCTAAATAACCATGATAATTTAAAAAAAGATACATATTCAACTCAAACACTTGGTATGAACAACTCTTATTAGGATGTATGTGAAAAAACAAATGGATATGAAATTTGGATGATCAAGTGGAGGTGTCTTCAAATTTGCATGCTCATATCTTCAAATGCATTGGCAGGCACTACCATACCTGACACTTGGGGTACCAAGTCTCTTCGGATACTCCCAACTCATGCTTAGAATGTAATTTTCCAAGTATGAATTCTTTCTGGAAGCTCACCTAAAATATAACTCTATTATGAAGCTAATGATAAAGTTGCAACATGGATGCTTCCTTTTCTATATATCCGCTTCAAACAATCAAAAATAAATATTCAGGTAATGAAAAATACAACTAAGATAGATTTTACACATGCATAAATTTCTTTCTATTCTGTTCTTTATGATTGTAAATAGTTACAACATCAAACTAAGAATACTTCTCCATGTGGTGCTATGATATCACAACAAAGCTATCATATTTTAAAGAGAAAAAAATAGATAGTGCTTTGGCCTCAACATTCGCAGCCGATGAAAAAAGGCAATTCTTATTTATTGTTTTTTTAACTAAACAGATTGCTAAGTATAAATAATTTGATTCGCTCGTGAAATAAAATAATGTAAAGTTAACCTGTGGCACTTAAACAATGGTGCAACATTCAACTTTTGAGATCCGCACATTTTATTTGTAATGCCATTATATTGAGTAATGCACCGCAAAGAGCATTTGGACAGAATATGAAATACATATGGCCATTGGCAATTAATAAAAGAGAACTGTAAAAGGGAGAAATATGAGATGAAAATGGATCATCATGAAGGTTGAGATGATAATATAGGATACACTTATAACATGTAATCAAGAATTTAGATTTTTAGTAGATATTCAAAGCTTGGTAAAAGTTTGGTTTCAAAACTGGAATGAAGATACATATTCAGATGTTTAGTAAAAAATACACATTTGGAAGCATATTCACACACCATCAAAATACATCCAAATCTGGGATCAAACATTTATATTTCAAAAACTGTACTAACTTTTTAAGTGACATTTCTATTTATGGTACATGTGGTCATTATTCCCTGTAATGGAGTTGGGGATTACTCTTTCAATTCAATAATGATCAAAACATACACCAGAGAAAAAAAGTTCTTTCATAACTGGAATGTTGAAGCAACAAAAATGCAGCTCAAATAATTGAAGTACCTAAGGATGTCCAAAGTAATGAAATCCACAAAGCTCCACCCTTGAACTCCATCTTGGATAGGTCTGCCACCAATTGGTCGATTTTTAATTGGGACAAACTGGATGATCGGAGTAAAGAATTTGCCTCTATGACTATTTCTGATAGCAAGCACTGAGATGAGCTTCGATTGGCTAAGCATACCGGCAACTTGAGATATTCAAGCTCGTCGAGGATCGGGAAATTGATGGAGATTTCCAGAATTTTGAAGATGAGGAATAATTAAGGATCAGGATCTGATATTGATCAAAGATTTCTATCCCTTAAAGTTTCGTATCTCGAGAGTGAAGAAGGCATGGAAGAAATAAAGTTCCACAATTGCCATATATTGGAATACAGCAACAACAACCCAGTTAAATCCCACAAGAGTAGGTCTGGGGAGGGTGTGTGTACGCAGACCTTACCC